TTGAACACTTTCCACGAAGTAAAGGAGCCAGATGCAAACACCACACACTGCACGATTCCAGGGCCAGCACTTCGACAGAGACAGGCTGGGATGGAGGGGCAGCGGGGGACGGCTGATGGGTGCGGGGCCTCTTTTTGAGTGAAGAACATGTTCTGGCATTGGATAGTTGCCATGGTCGCACTACAAAACCTTCCAAGAGAACACTGTTCTTCTCACAGCCTCAGGACCGCACACACAGCGAGCCAGCACTCTGCACCTCCGCACCTCCCAGGACAGCTCGATCCGCCCCCAGCTCTGCTGACTGCCCCCAGCCTCGCTGGCTTTAGGTCTGCAGCCACACTCCGGTGTCTCTTCCTCTGGGGACAGCGGCGTGGCTGGGTCCAGTCCGCGCTGGAGCTCAGGAAGCATTTCTCGAGTGGACTTTGAACGCGAAGGAGAGCCTCGTGGAGGAATGTCACTTGGGGGGAGCTGGGGAGCTGGGGTGGGGGGGGCGGTGCTTCCCGGACTCCAGGGAGAGAGGGAAGCTGCGATCCTATCTGAGACCTGGAGCAGCCCCTTGGGACGCCCCAACGAGGCTGCAGGGAGGGCGAGCGGGGGGGGGGCAGCGGGGGCTGTGGCCCCAGCAGGACGGGGCGTCTACAAAGTGCTCCCTCTGCGCCTCGGCTTCCCAGCGGCCGCTCCGCCCAGGTGTTACTTCCTTTGTCCAAGGAGTAAACTGACCGTGGCCGCAGGTTTGGTTAGACGGGGAGGCGAACCTGGTGTCGGCTACTTTGTCACTCACCTGCTGAGCCACCCAAAACGTGCAGCCAGTTCACCTCTCTCAGCGGTGGCACTGGGAACAAAGGCCCACGGAAGGACCCCATGGTAGGGAGAGGGGTGAAGACAGCCTCGCTCCCTTCACAATAACTGATTCTTTATTCATTTGAGAGGCAGAGACAGACAGAGATCTGCCATCTGCTGGTTCACTCCCGCCATGCCCTCAACAGCTGGGACCCGCCCAAGGCTCACGCCAGGAGCCCAGAACTCCATCCGGGTCTCCCACATGGGTGTCAGGGACCCAAGCATTGAGCCACCACCTGCTGCCTCCCAGGGTCTGCATTAGCAGGAAGCTGGAGCCAGGAGCTGGAGCAGGCACTCCGAGATGCAATGCAGGCATTTTTTTTTTTAAAAGATTTATATATTTACTTGAAAGGCAGAGTTACAGAGAGAAAGAGAGAGAGAGAGAAGTCTTCCATCTGCTGGTTCACTCCCCAGATGACTCCAACAGCTGGGGCTGAGGCAATCCGAAGCCAGGAGCCAGGAGCTTCCTTCTGGTCTCCCAAGAGGGTGCAGGGGCCCAAGCACTGGGCCATCTTCCACTGCTCTCCAGGCTATAGCAGAGAGCTGGATCGGAAGTGGAGCAGCCGGGACTTGAACTTATGCCCATAATGGATGCCGGCGCTTCAGGCAGTGGCTTTACCTGCTATGCCCCAGCGCCAGCCCCGCAATGCAGGCGTCTTAACCCTCTTAACCCTCAGGGCAATCAGTTCTGCATGGAGCTGTTCTGAAGCCTCCGTGAGTCCCTGGCCCTGTTCCTGCCTCAGTTTCCCTCTGCCTTCCCAGACAGCAGCTCCCTAGCCACACAGCGGTGGTATGGAAGAAAGAACATGGCTACGGAAGCCTTCAGTCTTGGGTCCCGTTATAGGTCTTGGGCAAAGTATTGGTTAGAACACATTTCCATGCAAACAGCTGCTTACAGTGACTGAACCGCTGGCTCTCAGGCCTGGCTGGATCCAGCAGCCCGCCACCAGCTTGTAGCTGTCCCCTTGTCTGTCTGTCCCAGCTGCTCCCAGTCGGCTTCATCCAGTTCTCATGGAGGCAAAATGCCTCTTGCCATGGTCCAGGGTGTTCCCGGGGCCAGCTGCCCCATCCCCAGGCCGGGGAAGAGGGAGAGGTGGACACCCAGAGAAGGATCTGGACAACCGAGAGAACAGAGGAAGCCAAAAGAGGCCACCAAGTGCAGCCACAGCCAGAACACTCGGATCCTTAACTGGTTTCCTTTTCTGTGGCGGGGGCGGCATCTGTCCCTACCTGTAAGGCTGACAGCACAGAGCGGCGCCTGTGCTCAGTTCAGCGCTGCCACCCCTGGGTGCTGGGGCCGGTGTGACCTCGGGCACAATGTCCTCTCCTCCCCAGCTGCCTTCTCTTCTGTGAAGGGGAGGTCATCGGCCACCACCCCCCGCCCCGTCCTACCCTCTGAAGGCAGGTGCAGGGGCCCGAGGTGGCCAGCAGGTGGCAGCACAGAGGCGCGCCCGGCGCGGCGACCCCGCCAACTTCAGGGGCCCGCGACCTGCACGCACAAGGGTCCCGGGCTGGGTTTAGGGCTCCACCGTCTCCGTCCTGAAATCTTAGTCGCAGTTGAAAGGGAGCCTGCGATCTAGTTTTGCACTGGGCCCTGAGTGGCCAGACTCGCTCTGCTCGGGACCCTGTCCGGGTCAGTTCCCAGGAGGGCTCTGAGCCTCCCCCATGGCCTCCCGGGGGCTCCCTGCTGCCCCCGCAGCTCACCCCTGGCCACTGCTGGGGAAGGGGACGGGGAGGGATAAGGCCTTTCGTGGGAGAGCCGGAGCGGGAGGAGGGGACCCCACACAGGTGCCGGGCCGGATGTCCCTGGACAGGCAGCCAGCGGCCACAGGGACAGGGCAGAAGCCACTACTTCCTGGGGGCAGAGGAGACTCCGCTTCTCAGAAACATTCAGCAAGCAGCTGTTCTTCGCGGTGTGACTTAGAGTTGGGGAAACGCCTGTGTCAGGTGCACGGGTCCTACACAGTCGGCTGTTCCCACCCCTCAACCCCCTCCTGCCTGCCCCCTTGCAGTCCATTTGCTCCCCCACTCCCGCCCCTGGCACCCCCCACCCATTTCCTGTCTCTAGGGTTCCACCTTCTCCAGAATGTTCCGTAAACCGAATCACCCTGGAGTTACCCTCAGGCCATCTCCAGTCTTCCGGATCCACACTCTTTTTTTTTTTTTTTTTTTTTTTTTTTTTTTGACAGGCAGAGTGGACAGTGAGAGAGAGAGACAGAGAGAAAGGTCTTCCTTTTGCCGTTGGTTCACCCTCCAATGGCCGCCGCGGCCAGCGCGCTGCGGCCGGCGCACCGCACTGATCCGATGGCAGGAGCCAGGAGCCGGGTGCTTTTCCTGGTCTCCCATGGGGTGCAGGGCCCAAGCACCTGGGCCATCCTCCACTGCACTTCCCTGGCCACAGCAGAGAGCTGGCCTGGAAGAGGGGCAACCGGGACAGAATCCGGCGCCCCGTCACCGACTAGTTACCTGTCTCCTGGCCCTCCAGCCTGAGGATTAGCCTAGTGAGCCACGGCGCCGGCCCGGATCCACACTCTTTAGCCCACGCTCAGGCTCTCTGCTGACGGCCTCGTGTCTGTTCTCAGGTTCACTTCCAGGGCTCTCTGTAGCCTTGCTCTGCGAACGGGTCCCTCCCGTGCCTTCAGCCAACTCCTGCCATGGTCCCCAAGCAAGGGGACTTGACTCTGCCTCCCCAGCAGCCACTGAGGCTGTGGCTGCTTCTCCAGCCCCGGAGACCTGCCTGTCGGATCAGTGCCCGCACCTAGGGGCCTCCGCACTGGCCGGAAGGCAGCCTCTCACGGCCAGCGACATCCCAGCTGTCTCTCAAGCACAGGAGGCCAGAGGTTATGACATCACGGCTCAGTGTTTATTAACGATTTTCCAAGATACCGTTAAGTGGGGAAAGCGGAAGGCAGAGACACATCTACAGTAGGCGTAAGAAAGCAGGTATTGGCTGGCGCCACAGCTCACTAGGCTAATCCTCCGCCTGCGGCACCAGCACACTGGGTTCTAGTCCTGGTTGGGGCACCGGATTCTGTCCCGTTTGCCCCTCTTCCAGGCCAGCTCTCTGCTGTGGCCTGGGAGTGCAGTGGAGGATGGCCCAAGTGCTTGGGCCCTGCACCTCATGGGAGACCAGGAGGAAGCACCTGGCTCCTGGCTTCGGATCAGCGCGATGCGCCAGCCGTGGCGGCCATTGGAGGGTGAACCAATGGCAAAAGAAAGACCTTTCTCTCTGTCTCTCTCTCTCTCACTGTCCACTCTGCCTGTAAAAAAAAAAAAAAAAAAACAGCAGCAGGTATTTCTGCACGCCTAGGAAACACGGGTGTGCAGAAAGACCCAGACCCAGGGATAAACCAGGAACCAGTGGGGAGGGGCTGGGGACAGCAGATTGCCGAGGATGGAGAATGGGGATGTTGGCAGAGATGGGTGGGGTTAGGTTCTTGTCTTTGTGCGAGAAAGAATTCAGGCCTGAGACAGAGAATGGTGGTAAGCAAGGTTTATTGGGGGAAGGGCATCCGTCAGAATGAATGGGACAGACTCAGAGAGACAGAGAGAGAGAGAAAGTCTGACCCAGACTGGGGAAGGCAAGGTCACATGGTTCAATGGAGAAAATACACCCGGCAGGCCAGGTGGGCGGCTCAGCAGAGAGCTGAGAGCTGGGCGTGCGGTCTGTGTTCAGACTGGGGCTTATGAGGGAAAGGGGTCCAGTTCTTCCTGCTGTTTCTCCTTGACCTCCTCCTCCTCCTCCTGGACAAAGGGTTTGCTGAGTGTGAATCAGGTGAAATTTCTCCCAAGGGTTCACTGCTCAGTGCCATCAGGCTGGGGGCCCACCTGGCACCACCGCCACCGGCAGAGGAGCCTTGGAGGAGGGACGGCCATGGTTTCATTGCTCCGTGTTTTCAGGCCAGGTTTGGTGCTGAGGAGGGAGGATTGGCCTGGGCAGCTTCCCTTGGGGCGAGGGCTGAGACCACCTCTAAAGTTACCAGGGTGCGGGCAGGACTGCTGCAGGTGCTTTGTTTTCCCAGGCCCCAAATTCCCAGCTTCCTCCCTCACGGAGGCACAGGGGCTTACGCTGCCCAGAGGACGTCCCTGGACAGTTCTTTCTGGATCGTCTTCTGTTTCATGTGGTTAAAAAGGCGACATCAACAAGGAACTAGAGAAGAGTGGTGGAGAGGACCCAAGTGGATCAGAGACAGAGACCAGGAGACCCAGTCGCGCAGCTTGCTAAGGGTGGGCACCACGGCACAGAGCAAACAGACTGAGCACTAACCCAGGGGGCTTCATAAAGGGCATTTAAACTTTTTTTTTTTTTAAAGATTTGCTTATGAGAAAGGAAAGGTGGAATTAGAGAGAGAGGCATCTTCTACCTGCTGGCTCACTCCCCAGATGGCCACAACATCTGGGCCCAGACCAGTTTAAAGCCAGAAGCCTAGAGCTCCGTTCTGGTCTCCCATGTGGGTGCAGAGGCACAAGGATTCAAGCCATTGTCCACGGCTTTCCCAGGCGCATTAGCAGGAGCTGGATCGGAAGTGGAACAGCTGGTGTTGTGTCCGAATTTCCCAGGCAATGCACAAGGCACAGTCGCGGATGCAAAAGCAGACGTCTATTTGTTATCAGCCGGCTGGGACCCCCTACCCGCACACAGCCCTTTAGCCTTGCACAGGCAAAAGGCCCCTTCGTTTGCATAAGAGAGGTTTTTATAGCCTCACACTTGCAAGGGTGCAGGTCATCTCCTACGTAGGTTACCTTCTTACTCTCTATATGGCAAGGTATTGGGACCTAACATGTTCATTGGTTCATTTAAACGTACGGGCTATATAGGTTATGTGGCGGGAAGGCCACACAAAGGAGATGGCACGGGGAGGCACTGGTGGGAAGCATTGGGCCATAAACCCCAGGGGAGCTGGTGGGGGTCAGGGGGTCACAGACTCCAGGGGAGCACAGCAGGCAAGCAAGCAGCCAGAGTACAGAAGACTCCAGCTCCTACACTGGGACTGCAACCGGCATGCATTTGGGATGTTGGCATCCACACTACACTGCAATGCTAGTTCCCTCCCAATTAAAAAAAAAAAAAATCTTTTCATTTTAAATGCAAATCAGAGAGAGACAGAGACAAATTTTCCATCCACTGGGTTATTTCCTCAATTGCCCACAAACAGCCAGGTTTGGACCCGACCGAGGCCAGGAACCCGGAGCTCCACCCAGGTCTCCCACAAGCGTGGGTGGACCCAAGTACTTGAGGCGGCACCTGCTGCCCCCCAGGGTGCACAAAGCAGAAGCTGCATCAGAAGTGGAGGAGCCAGGACTGGAACCAGGATCTCTGATACAGGACGCAGGCCTCTTAACTGCTGTGCCAAACCCCTGCCCCAGGTATTGTCACTCTATACTTTCAAGCGGGAAAACTGGGTGTCAGCGCGCTCTAAGCAGTAGGTTTGCTTTTCACAGACGTGCAAGTTAGAAATGCAGAAACTACATGTATTTTGGCATGGAGCAGATAAGCACATATCCTGTGATTAAGGGGAATCATTTCTCACTGTCAGATAAACGAGTTAAAAATAAGGGGCAAGGCTGGAATGCACGCGATGATGTCAGAGTGGAATTGGAGGCATCACTGTGGACTTTTTTTTTTCTTTAAGATTTATTTATTTATCTGAAAGGCAGAGTTACAGAGGCAGAGAGAGAGAAAGAGAGAGGGAGATCTTCCATCTGCTGGTTCACTCCTCAAATGGCCGCAATGGTCGGAAGTAGGTCACTCTGAAGCCAGGAGCCAGGAGCTTCTTCCGGGTCTCCCATGTGGGTGCAGGGGCCCAAGGACTTGCAGCGTCTTCTACTGCTTTCCCACACACATTATCAGGGAGCAGGATCAGAAGTGGAGCCGCCGGGACTCGAACTGGTACCCACGTGGGGTGCTGGCACTGTAAGCAGAGGCTTAGCCTACAATGCCCACAGCGCCAGCCCCACTATGTCTACTTCAACACGCATGCATTTGTTCATGCTTCCTATGTACCGAGAAGTTGAAAAGGAACCATTTCCAATACCAGTGAACTTAACCCTGCACCAGGCCTGGGTTTTAACGCACCATGATTCCTGGAGAAATAGGTGTTTCTGGACGGAAAAGTTGACCCTCCTACCTCTTGTGGTGCCGAAAGGTGGAGCCATTAAGTCATGGGATGTGCCGCCTGTGGAACAGCAGCCTGTAAGGACGGCAAGAGGAAGGGGGCCTGGGCAGAGGCATTCGGGGCCTGGGCAGAGGCATTCGGGCTGGGGGGTGAGGGCGGGTCCAAGGGGAGCGGTGGGCGGCGTGTCAGGTGTGGGGGAGGTGAAGAGCAGAGCTGAACCCCATCCTTAGAAGAAGAACCCCGAGGTGGAGCGGGGCGGGCGCAGAGCAGTCCCACCAGGACCACAGACAGCAGAGGGAGAGACTGCCTGGGCGGCGCTTGGCTGTGACAGGAAGTGGAAGGACGAATTTGAAGGGAGACTTGGGCTGAGGGCAAGACTCTCTTCTGGATTCTTCTACAGACAGTGGCCGCTCCTCGGCCCATTCCTTCTCCCTGGTGCATCCGTCAGTCCCCCGTGGGACTGCAGGAGTGGTTGTGTGGCCGAGGCCTAGCCAAAGGGATTAGTGAGTGTACCTGGGCCTGGTTGATGGGGTCTCCCTGGCTCTTTCCTACCTACGTGCTAAGTGGGGACCTTCCTTCCTCCCAAGACTTATTTATTTTTTTCAAAGACAGAGTTAGAGAGGGAGAGAGATCTTCCATCTGCCGGTTTACTTCCCAAGTGGCTGCAATGGCTGGGGCTGGGCCAGGCTGAAGCCAGGAACTTTTCCCAGGTCGTTAGCAGGGAGCTGGATGGAAGTGGAGCATCTGGGACACGAACCGGCACCCTTATGCTATGCTGGTGTCACAAGCAGTGGCTTTCCTGGCTATGCCACAACGCCGGTCCCAAATAAGGAGATTTCTAGTGACCCAGAACAGGATAAACGCACAAAATGGAGGGATCCTGGGCCCCTGAGTCATCACACAGAAGGAACTCCCCCTGGACAGTGGCCTGAGTGGGAGACAAATGCTTGGTGTGCTGAGCTTCTAAGAAGGGGCGGTCACCCGTGATAGCAGCAGGAGTCCACCTCTTGCCCTGGCTAAGGAAATCCATGTGCATCCAACCAGTGCAACACTACAGCTGTTAAAACAAGCAGGGGCAGAAAGAGTTACATAGAAGGAGAGGCAGAGAGAGAGAGAGAGAGAGAGAGAGCGAGAGAGAGAGGTCTTCCATCCACTGGTTCACTCCCCCGTTGGCTGCAATGGCCGGAGATGCGCCGATCCGAAGCCAGGAGCCAGGAGCTTCTTCTGGGTCTCCCACATGGGTGCAGGGGCCCAAGCACTTGGGCCATCTTCTCCTGCTTTCCCAGGCCACAGCAGAGAGCTGGATAGGAAGAGGAGCTGCCACGTCTCGAACCGGCGCCCATATGGGATGCCGGCCCTTCAGGCCAGGAGGTTAACCCACTGCCCAGAGGCAGCTCTTTTGTGACAAATATGGAATGACCTCCAGGACATGATCACCCTCAACAACAGGGATGTGTTCTGAGAGCTTCATCTTCGGGTGATTTCATCATCGTGCAAATGCCACCGAGTGTACTACACAAACTAGGATGGCTGTCACATCACTGGAATCACCATCATACATGCGGTCCATTGTTAATTCTGATTTTTTAAAAAAAGATATAGGGGCCGGCACTGTGGCATAGCGGATAAAGCTACTGTCTACATGCCAGCATCCCATATGGGCACTGGTTCAAGTTCCGGCTGCTCCACTTCCAACCCAGCTCCCAGCTAATGTACCTGGGAAAGCAGTGGAAGATGGCCCAAGTCCTTGGGCCCCTGCACCCACATGGGAGACCCGGAAGCAGCTCCTGACTCCTGGCTTCAGACCAGTTCAGGTCTGGCCATTGCAGCCATTTAGAGAGTGAACCAGCAGATGGAAGATCTCTGTCTCTCCCTCTCACTCTGTAACTCTACCCTTCAAATCAATCATTTTTTTTTTTTAAGATTTATTTATTTGAAAGGCGGAGTTACAGAGAGAGAATCTTCCATTTGCTGGTTCACTCTCCAAATGGCCCCACTTCTGGGGCTGGGCCAACTGCAGCCAGGAGCCGGGAGCTTTATACAGGTCTCCCACATGGGTGGCAGGGACTGAACCACTTGGGCCATCTTTTTTTTTTTTTTTTTTTTTTGACAGGCAGAGTGGACAGTGAGAGAGAGAGAGAGACAGAGAGAAAGGTCTTCCTTTTGCCGTTGGTTCACCCTCCAATGGCCGCCGCGGCCGGCGCGCTGCGGCCGGCGCACCGCGCTGATCTGATGGCAGGAGCCAGGAGCCAGGTGCTTTTCCTGGTCTCCCATGGGGTGCAGGGCCCAAGCACCTGGGCCATCCTCCACTGCACTCCCTGGCCACAGCAGAGGGCTGGTTGGGCCATCTTCTGACTGGAAGCAGAGCAGCCGGAACAGGAACTAGTACCCATACGGGGTGCGGCAGCTTTACAAACTAAGCCACAATGCTGTCCTCCCCCCTCCCCCTTTTTTTTTTTAAATAAAACATTTGTTTATTTATTTGGAAGTCAAGAGTTACAGAGAGAGAAAGAGAAAGAGAGAGATTTTCTATTTGCTGGTTCACTCCCCAGATGGCCGCTGGGTGGCAGGGGTCCAAGCACCTGGGCCACCCTCCACTGCTGTTCCCAGACCACCAACAAGGAGTTGGATGGGCAGTGGAGCAGCCAGGACTGGAACCGGTGCCCATACGAGATGCCGGCTTCACAGGCAGCGGCTTTACTCACTACATCATAGCGCCAACCCCCTAACCCCCAAAACGTTATTATGCTACACTTAACTGCACCTTACATGAAAAACAGCAAGGTACAGGAGTGTGCATGCAGCTCGCTACATTTTGTGTAAAAAATCAGTAGAAAGAGTGTATACATAATTCCTTGTGTGACACAACAGCGGAAGACATTCAAGAACAAAATAATAATAGCGATGATACAGGTTACATCCACACAAAGGCGCTGGGTGGCCAAGGGATGAACGAGAGACGCCTGCTTCTATCTGTTGAGTTTTGGAGAGTGGATGCATTTCCTGGTGAATTCTTTTACAATAGAAAATCTAAGGGAACAAGCCAGAGACACAGCGTTTTTGAACAGTGATAGGAGAGCCAAGTGAAACAGAAATGGCGGACCCTCAGGGAGAGAGCAGAGAGGGGATGGAGGGAAGCCCTGGTGGGGGTAGGGGGTGCAGAGGGAGCGGGGGAGGGAGCTCCGGCGTGTGGGACCAGGCCAGCGTGCAGGCTGTGCCTCTGGGAGAAGGAAGGGTCAAGGGGCATGCTTCCTGAGTGGCAGTTATCAGGAGCTGGCATTTCCCAATGAGAATGAGAGGAGGGTGGACTTGACCCTGGGGAGGACCAGGACCAGAGGAGCCTGTTGGGAGAACCATGCCGGGGGGTTCTCCGGAACCCAGGTAAAGTGAGGGGCACAAAACGGGTGAACTGGCCCAAGGCAGAAGTTTCTGGGGAGCAGGTGACCAGGCTTTGGAGAGACGAAGCTTTAGGGGTGCCGGTGAGACTGTTAGGTGGGCCCACGTGGGACAGGACACGTCAGAAAGCAAAGCAGATCTGGAAAGGGATGGGTAGATCTGGGAGAAAGCGGAGGACTTAGGGGCGGGGATGCTGCTGAGACATGAGCTGGCATTCAGGCCACGTTTCCCAGGTGGAGGGCCACCTGCAGGATGTGGGGCCCAAGTCCGGGGATCAGCCCAGAGGTGGAGGTCCCAGGAGCCAGGGGACGAGAGAAGACCCAAGTCACAGGTCCAGGCAGGGGGTGGAGTAGAGGGCACGGCCCCCAGGGGAGTCCAGCGTCAGCTGGGCCAGGTGCAGCCCTTGGAACCGCGGCTGCCCACGCTCAAGGACAAACGGAGGCTGAAAGCAGAGCTGGGGCCTCCCCTTGCTCCCCTGGGCCTTGGGAGGAGGCTCCATGCAGTGACCTGCCATCTGCCCAGCAGTCTCCCCTGCCTTAACCTCTGTTCCTGGGCCCTGGTTCGCAGCCCTGCCTCTCACACCCTGGCCTGGCCTCTGCATCTCTGGTCACCTGGGACAGAGCAGCCTGGCACGGTCACCCCTCCCCAACCTCCCTCATTTCTCCCCTCGTGACCCTCCCCACCCTACCCTTCCCATGGAGTCTCCGTCTTGCTAGCCAAGGGAACTGCCCCTGGGTTTGCTGGCTGGGCTTGTTCTTCCTGGTCCCAGTGCCACGGCCCCCAGCCTCCCTGGTTCTGCCGCATACCTTGCTCTCTGCTGCCCAAGTTCTGGCTGGCTTCTCCCTGCTCACCCCCAGGGCCTGGAGCATCGGAGACCATCGCCTCTCCTTCCCCTTGCCGCCAGCGTTTCTCTCCAACCCCTCAACACCGGCAGAGAGGAAGAGGGTCCCACACCTGGGAAAAACCCCAGCCGCGGTCCTGGCCACACCTAGGGAATGGCAGGCAAAGGCCCACGGGGGTGCCCCTGACAACCAAATAAACACAACCTGAGCCTGGAAGACTGGGGCACTGAGGACCTATTGTTGAGTGGGGCCTTTGGGGGAGGGGAACGGATACAAAGTGGACCGTACACGATGCCGTGGATCATCCGGGAACGCCGACGGAAAGAACACATACCCGCACGTGAGGGGCGTCAACACATTCACGCACAAGTGGAACTCGAAGATAACCTGCGTTTCCCAGGAACGTTTTGAAGCCCCTTGTATTTGTTTATAGGAGTCGCCTCGGCTTGTCAAGATGACAGGTTTTGGAGCCGGCATTGTGGTGTACTGGGTTAAGCCACTGCCTGCGATGCTGGCATCCCATATGGCCGCCAGTTCCAGTCCCTGCTGTTCCACTTCCGATCCAGCTCCCTGTTAATACAACCTGGGAAAGCAGCAGAGGATGGTGCAAGTGCTTGGGCCCCTGCACCCACGTGGGAGACCCGGAAGCAGCTCCTGACTCCTGGCTTTGGCCTGGCTGAGCCCTGGCCTTTGAGGCCATTTGGGGAGTGAACTAGTGGATGGAAGATCCCTCTCTCTGTCACTCCAGCTTTCAAATAAATAAAAAATCTTTAAAGAAAGATTGCAGGTTTTGGGGACCATGTTTCAGCAGGTTAAGCCATAGCTTGTGGCGCCGGCCCGCAGTTTGAGCCCTGGCTGTTTCCGTCTGGTGCAGCTCCTTGCTAATGTGCCTGAGAAGGCAGCAGAAGATGGCCCGAGTCCTGGGCCCCTGCCACCCATGTGGGACACCTGCACGGAATTCTGGGCTCCTGGCTTTGGCTTGGCCCAGACCTGGCTGTTGTGGTCATTTGGGGAGTGAAGCAGTGGATGGAAGATCCATCTCTCTGTGCCTCTCTTCCCCCCACCCCAAGATTACAGGGTCTCTCCTTCCCCGATATGTTTACAATTTCCAGTGTCCTACACCGAGCATGAGTGACTTGTGCCCTCACCTGACTCTGTAAGGTCCGGGGTCTGCAGTGCAGCGGCCAGGTCCAGGTCCAGGTGGTAGGGCAAAGCCTCCTGTTGTCCCCAGGCTTCTCCCTGGGAAAGGACTCCGTTCTGCATTCCCCCGGGGGCGTGCTGGGCGCCAGGCAACACCCATTCCTGTCCGGAAGAGTGCAGTGCTCCTGGGCCAGCCACGCCGACCAGCCACGGCTACATTTTCCTAAGAAATGAGTGAACTCAAAACGGAAGCCCCAGAAAAGCAGCGCAGAGGCCAGTGCTGGCTGTGCTGCCCAGCCCTGCGCAGGGAGGGAGCTGGTTACCCTGGTGAGGGGATGGGGTCCCACGAGGTGCCTGAGCGTTGATCCACCCAGCTGACTCCTCAGATCCCGTCCCAGGCTCACAAATGCCTTGAAGGAAAATGTGGTCTCTTTTAGGACAGAGGTTTACAAACCTGAGATCTCCGAAGGTCAGAAAGACACTGTATAGAAAGAAAACACCTGCCACGAGTATAATCAAACTTTATATGGTATGCAGTGCAACACATATGATGCCACAGTACTCCCAATTTGACACTGAAAAAATCTGATTAGAAAATAGGAATAACTAAAGTAACTATTCCAAGTTCCCTGATTTATATTACTGCTCAAGTTCAAAATCAGACACTTCTTTCTTGTGCCCCAAGGTGTCAGTCAGTGTTAGGCTGTGAATCTTGTATAGCAACAGGCGGCAGAGGAGTCACCCTAGAAAGCTTTAGCTGGGAGTTTTTGTTTGTTTGTTTATTAAAGATTGATTTATTTATTTGAAAGGCAGAGTTAAAGAGAGGGAGAGACAGAGGCAGAGAGAGAGAGAGGTCTTCCATCTGCTGGTCCACTCTCCAAATGGCTGCAGTGGCCAGGGCTGGGCCAGATCAAAGCCAGGAGCCAGGAGATTCATGGGATCTCCTACATGGGTGCAGGGGCCCAGGGACCTGGGCCATCCTTTGCTGCTTTCCCAGGTGCATTAGCAGGGAGCTGGACCGGAAATGGGGCAGTTGGACTTGAACCAACGCCCACATGGGATGCTGGCGCTGCAGACGGCGGCTTAACCTGCTGCGCCACAGCGCCGGCCTCGGGAGTATTTATTTTTACAACAGAAAATAGCTGCTCACAAGCACAAGCAGTTCCAAACATGGGCCGTTGCGCAATGGCTTTTCTATTTAGGGTAGCCGTCCCCAAAGCATCTGCAGGATCCTGGGATTCCAGCGCTGTCTACTGGACTCGCAGTGTGGTGCAGCCCTGCTGCTCCGCGCACGTGATGACGTGTGCAGGTGAACTGCACATTCGTTTGAAATCAGTGTGTTTTGGGAATTCAGCTTTCAATCCTTTAACTTTCGGAATGTAGTGCAGGCTGTCACTTTCATTTTCAGAAGCTAATTTCAGTGCAGGGAAGGGGGCCAGCCTGTTCTCCATCAAGTGAGTAGTTCCCAAAAACATGATTTTGCAAGGAATGAGCGAATCAAACCATACATTCCTGTATCCATTGTGAACGTCCTGGCAGAGAACTGTCCAATGTGATTCGAGAGGGGTTGTAACGTCAGCCAAAGGGCTCAGTATTTGATCCAGACTTTGCTAGAAGGCTGAGGCACAGGGGCCGGCGCTGTGGCGCAGTAAGGTACTGCACTGGCATCCCTTATGGGCACTGGTTCAAGTCCCAGCTGCTCCACCTCTGATCCAGCTCTCTGCTGTGGCCTGAGAAAGCAGCAGAAGATGGCCCAAGTCCTTGGGTCCCTGCACCCACATGGGAGACCTGGAGGACGCTCCAGGCTCCTGGCTTCAGCTTGGCTGCCATTTAGGGAGTGAACCAGCAGATGGAAGATCTCGCTCTCCCTCTGTCTCTCTGTAATTCTGCCTTTTAAATAAATAAATCTTTAAAAGGGGGCAGGTGCTGTGGCATAGTGGGTAAAGCTGCCATCTGCAGTGCCAGCATCCCATATGGGCACCGGTTCAAATCCCAGCTGCTCCACCCCCGGTCCAGCTCTCTGCTGTGGCCTGGGACAGCAGCAGAAGACGGTCCGAGTCCTTGGGCCCCTGCACCTAAGTGGGAGACCCAGAAGAAGCTCCTGGCTCCTGGCTTCGGATTGGCTCAACTCAACGGCCATTGAGGGAGTGAAGCAGTAGACAGAAGACCTCTGTCTCTCTCTGCCTCTGCCTCTCTCTAGCTCTGCCTTTCAAATAAATAAATAAATCTTAAAAATAAACAAACAAATAAACAAACAACCCCAGAAAGCTGAGGCCCACACTCAGCCCTGGAAGAATGAACAAGTCAGCCCCTCCCACTGGCACAGAGAGCTGCTTTAGCACCGTCCCACCATCCCACACCCCAGCTGCTGACATCCCAGGCCTCCACCTGTGCACCTGATTCATGGGACAAAGCACTGACCTTCCTGTGGCTGCAGCCGTGGGAACGTGTCCAGTCACGATGCAGTCTACGTCCAGGACAGGACCCATTTTTAACTTCTCAGCACACACGGATTCCTGGAGAATGAGGCCATGCACAGACTTAAGCTGGCGTCTTTGCAAAGACCTGCCAGCTTAGATTTTAGTTTTGTAACAAGCTGTTTAACACCAACCGCGACAGAACTACCATCTGTGCTAACACTTGCTAATTTCGACCAGTCTGCATGAAAATTTTTAAGACTTTTCTCAACACATAGAAATAAGTCATTTCCTGAAGTTGTGCCTGCCATGGGTATGACATCCAAAAATTCTTCAGTCACATCGAAGGGTTCCTCTACAGCACAAATAAACACAGCAGGCTGGGGCATTACTGCTGTCAGTGCGTTCGTGAGCTGGGACACAGAAGGCCACACACAATTTTGCTTCCTTTCCTTATTTTTTTGTTAAAGATTTATTTATTTGAAAGGCAAAGTGACACAGAGAGAAGGAGAGAGAGCGAGAGCGAGAGAGACAGAGAGAGAGAGAGCGAGAGAGAGAGAGAATCTTTCATCTAGAGATTCAGCCCCTAAATGCTTACAACAGCTAGGGCTGGGTGAGGCTGAAACCAAGAGCCTGGAACACCATCTGGGTCTCCCACGTTGCGGGCAGGGTTCCAAGGACGTGGGCCACCTTCTGCCGCCTTCCCAGGTGCATTGACAGGGAGCTGGATTGGAAGCAGAGCAGCCAGGACTCAGCTTGGTGCTCTGAGATGGGAGGTCCGTGTCACAAGTGGCGGCTTTACCCGTTGCACCCCAACACCGGCCCCCGAGTTGTCTTTTTCTTGAAATTGTCCCGGTAAGTTCCCAGCCATGGCATAGACATGAGGCTGGGCAGCAGTGCCACCGCGAGTCCGGTGTTTGCCCAGCGCATGTGAATGCCGCCACACTCGACAGACGTCCTCAGTAAACTCCCACCTATAAAAGGCACTTTTCTCACTTAATTCCCAAGGACGCCTCATAGCAGCCTCACGCATTTATTTTATTCCCGCTCGGAAGCAAGTCAAGAACAACACTCTCTCCCATTTTTCTAGAACAGTGTGGCTTTCTTGTTCTTTAATTTGAGACAAATGTGTAAGAAATATTAAAATGTCACTTTCACTATATGGAAAAAGTACCAGAGTACTTCAACAAGTTAACAGAAAAATGAAACTAAAAGACAAGCTTATTTTGACCCAAAACAATTGGAAATCTATGCCTGGTTTTTCTCACAGCACACATTTGCCATGAACATATTACTTTGTAAGAAATAAAAGTATTCACTCTATTATTAAAAAGTGCTAGGGAGGCCCTCGGGGTGGCGGGATCCTAGCGGCCAAGAGCAATGCGCACCTAAAAGGCAGTGGCCACCTCTCACCTCTACCACTGCTGACACACGAGGGTGTGGCCCTGGCGCCATCAGACTGAGGTATCAGGAGAAGTTGCAAATTCAGGCTTTAGGGGCTGGCATTGTGCCGTAGCGGGTGAAGTCACCGCTTGCAGTGCCGGCATCTCATATGGCACCAGTTCGAGACCCAGCATCTCTACTTCTGATCCCGCTCTCTGCTATGGCCTAGGAAAGCAGTAGAGGATGGCCCAAGTCCTTGGGCCCTTGCACCCATGTGGCAGACCAGGAAGAAGCTCCTGGCTCCTGGCTTCAGATCGATGCAGCTTTGGCCATTGTGTCCATTTGGGGAGTGAAGCAGCAGATGGAAGACTTCTCTCTCTCTGGCTCTACCTCTCTCTGTAACTGTCTTTCAAAGAAATAAAAATAATTCTTTAAAAAAATAAAAAGAAAAAAAGAGAAAAGAAAATCCAAACTTTTATATGAAATTTCTTAATTTTCTGAAATTTTCGTAACAAATTCAACTGTGTTTTGCTGTGTCAGCCAACATGCCTGCCCCTTGGATTAGACAGATGGAGAACACTGGTTTGAGGTCGTTGGCTGGAACCTGACAACAGCACTGTTAAAGGGGCGGGCGCTTGGTGCAGTGGTTAAGGTGCCACTGGGGACACTGGCATCCCGTGTTGTGTGAGAGGGAGGAGTACCCAGTGAGACAGGAAGCCAGAGTGGGCAGAGCCAGTTTTTCTCCTTTATAATAACCCACTCTTGCAAAAACACAGGAGATCTGGCTGGGTCCCTGCCACCCACGCAGGAGATCTGACTGGGCCCCCACCACCCACGCAGGCAATCTGGCTGGGCCCCCACCACCCACACAGGAGATCTGGCTGCGCCCCCGCCACCCACACAGGAGATCTGGCTGGGCCCCCGCCACCCACGCAGGAGATCTGGCAGGGCCCCCACCACCCACACAGGAGATCTGGACTGAGTTCCCAGCTCCTGGCTTCAGCTTGGCTCAGTGCTGACTGTGGTGGGCATTTGGGGAATGGACTGTGGATGGGAAACGTCTCTGTCTCTGTTTCTCTCCCTTTGGCTCTTTGCCTTTCAAACAAAATGAATACGAATTAAAAGCAAACAAACAAAGAACACTATGAGAGAGAATGAACGCCTGAGGAGAATGAAATATCGCATTCTGAAATTATGGGTATAAGAGCTTGTTCAGGGCACAGCACCTGCCATGCCGGCATCCCATATGGGCGCTGGTTCATGTCCTGGCTGCTCCACTTCCTCTCCAGCTCCCTGCTAATGCACCTGGGAAAAGTACCAAGAGATGGCCCAAGTGTTTGGTCCCCGGTTACCCATGAGGGTGGCTCCCGGCTTCAGCCTGGCCCAGCCCTGGATGTTGAGGCCGTTTGGGGAGGAACCAGAGGACGGAAGACCTCTCTGTCTCTCCCTCTCTCTTTCAAAATAAACAAATCAATCTTAAAAAAAGAGCTTGTTCGATAGAATCCTAATGGGTACCCAGAAAGGAAAAGATGGATTTCAAATGCATTAAGGTTACATCAAGGTTACAGTTAGCGAGGACAACGCCCAATAGCTTGAAAACGTGAGGAATGATTTACAACTTTGACACAGGGAAAACTGCAGTTGGAGGTGTCCGGTGTCCCCAGCCTCACCTCCCGCAGGGGCCCTGCTGACCCCGCTGGTGCCGACACTGTCAATACAGAGGCTGGCCCCTACCTGTCTGGGTGCCCTCCTTCCCAGCCCTACTTTCCCGGCCCTGGCTTGTGTCTCCACTATGGTCCAGATTTATGGCGAGCCCATCAATCTCTGCCCACTGCTCCTCTTCCGAGGCTCTCCCCGCATCGGCTTGTGACCTGAATTCGATACAGGCAGTTCTGCACTTGTGGGCATGGGGCAGGCGAGAGAAGGAAGAGCAGTCAGCCCTGAGAGCCGGGTGCTTTTATTGGTAACATCTTCTGGTGCTCATCAACCCTGCTTCGAGCCGGCACTATACAAACAAGAATCCAGGAGGCAGAGAAGGATCCAGGGATGGCTTCCTTCTACTCCTCCCCAGGCCACCCAACCTCTAACCTCAGAGGCAACATTCCGTACACACAACAGCAAGCACATGTACACATTTAGCCTTAGTGGGGTAAAATTTATTTACCATAAAATTCACCCATCTAACGCTTATACGGGTTCTTATCATGCGTGGAACTATACAACCTTCTCTGTTATCTAATTTTAGAACATTTTCATCAGTGCCACAAACACAACAGTCACTCCCCATGCTCTAACCCACTCCCACTGCCAGCCCTCCCAGCCCCAACTCTCCTGGCCCTGCAGCTGTGCCCATTCTGGACCCTTCGTGTACGTGAGACACACCATGCTTCAGCTGATGGTGCTTGGGATTACTTCCACTTTTTTGACTATTATGAATGATGCTGACATGAACGTTTATAGAAATGTCTAGATATGGCCGGCGCCGTGGCTCAACAGGCTAATCCTCCACCTTGTGGCTCTGGCACACCAGGTTCTAGTCCCGGTCGGGGCGCCGGATTCTGTCCCAGTTGCCCCTCTTCCAGGCCAGCTCTCTGCTGTGGCCAGGGAGTGCAGTGGAGGATGGCCCAAGTGCTTGGTCCCTGCACCCCATGGGAGACCAGGAAAAGCACCTGGCTCCTGCCATCGGATCAGCGCGGTGCACCGGCCTCAGCGCGCCGGCCGTGGCGGCCATTGGGGGGTGAACCAACGGCAAAAAGGAAGACCTTTCTCTCTGTCTCTTTCTCTCACTATCCACTCTGCCTGTCAAAAAAAAAAAAAAAAAAGTCTAGATACATTCTGTTTTTGTTTGTGCTTTTTAAAAATTAATGTATTTTATTTGAAAGAGTTACAATGAGAGGGAGAGACAGAGAGAGAGAGAGAAGGAGAAGGGGACAGAGAGAGAGAGAGAGATCAATCGGTTGATTGATCTTCCATCTGCTCGTTCACCTCCCAAATGGCCACAACGCTGGGCCTGGGCCAGGTGAAAACCAGGAGCCAGGTGCTTCACCAGGGTCTCCCTCATGGGTGCAGGGGCCCACGTACTTGGGCCATCTTCCGCTGCTTTCCCTGAGCATTTGCAGGGAGCTGGATAGGAAGTGGAGCTCCTGGGACTGGAAACAGCGCCCACATGGGGGGTTAACCCACCACAGTGCTGGCACCAGACACATGGACACATGCTCTCATTTCTATCGGGTAGCTACCGAGGAATGGAATTGCCGAACCATCTGGCAACTCCGTTTAACATTTTAAGAAACTGCTAAACGGCTTTCCTAATTGACTGCACTATTGTATATTCCCACCAGCAGTGCACGAGGCTTCTGATTTCTCAGCATCTTCACCGATTGTTCTGTCTTCTTTATTACAGCCATTAGCCACTCTAATGTATCACGTGGTTTTTTTTAATGTTCATTTAGTTTCATCTCCTTGGAAGGAAGAGTGACAGAGAGGAAAGGGGAGGGAGGAGAGGGAGAGAGAGAGATAGAGACAGGCAGAGATCTCTCACCTGCTGGTTCACTCCTCAAATGCCTGCAATAGCCAGGGCTGGGCCAGGCTGAAGCCAGGAGCCTGGAACTCCACCCAGGTCTTCTAGAACTCCGCCCAGGTCTTCTAGAACTCCACCCAGGTCTTCTAGAACTCCACCCAGGTCTTCTAGAACTCCGCCCAGGTCTTCTAGAACTCCGCCCAGGTCTTCTAGAACTCCACCCAGGTCTTCTAGAACTCCGCCCAGGTCTTCTAGAACTCCGCCCAGGTCTTCTAGAACTCCGCCCAGGTCTTCTAGAACTCCACCCAGGTCTTCTAGAACTCCACCCAGGTCTTCCACATGACTGGCAGGAACCCAACTACTGGGCCATTAGCTGCTGCCCCCCACCCCCCGCATTTCAATAGGAAGTCAGCATCGCAAATTAGCCTGTTGTGCCACAATGCCAATCCCTATATTGTTGGTCTTTTATTGATTTGTGAGGTACACTTTACATATTAGTGAAATAAGTCTTTGGTCTTGATAAGAATTACTAATATTTTTTCCTGGTTTGTCACTTGTTTTTTGACTTTGCTTATTTGATTCTTTCCCCCATAAAAGATGTTATTTACACAGTCATGTTAATCTAACTTTCTTTTAGGACTTCCTGGGTTTGTGTCCAACTTAGAAAGGATCTCCTCTCTTGCAGATTAAAGACAAAAACAGGGCCAGCTCTGCATCGCCCTCTAGGACTTTATGGTTTTGACTTCACATGAAATCGCTCATGAACCTGTAACTTATCTTGGTGAAAGGCATGGGTGAAGACCCGTGGGCTTCGACAGTTCCTGCCGATAATGCGCCCCCTCCCTTCTGTGCTTTCTCTCATGGGGCCCCGGCTCCCCTGGATCCTCTCAGCCCCATTTGCAACCATTCTTCATGGAAAGGACTAAGTCTGAAGATTAAGTGTACTTAATTAAAACTTAACGAGGTAAAGTTTGAGGCGTTATATAGCTTTTGGTGGGAGTTTCTGTTTTGTTTTGTTTTTTTTTAAGATTTTTTTTATAATTTAAAAGGCAGAGTTACAAAGAGAGAGAGGGAGAGACAGAGCGAGATCTTTCATCTACTGGTTTACTCCCCAAATAGCCGCAATGGCCAAGGCTGGGCCAGGCTGAAGCCAGGAGCCAGGCAGTTCATCTTGGTCTCCCATGTGGGTGTAGGGGCCCAAGGAGTTAGGCCATCTTCTGTTGCTTTCCCAGATACATTAACAGGAAGCTGGATCGGAAATGGAGCAGCAGGGGTAGGGAGGGAGGGCCAGCGCTGTGGTGCAATGTGTTAAATAAAATAAATCTTTTTTTTTTTTTTTTTTTTTTTTTTTTTTTTTTTACAGGCAGAGTGGACAGTGAGAGAGAGAGACAGAGAGAAAGGTCTTCCTTTTGCCGTTGGTTCACCCTCCAATGGCCACCGCGGCCGGCGCACCACGCTGATCTGATGGCAGGAGCCAGGTACTTATCCTGGTCTCCCATGGGGTGTAGGGCCCAAGGACTTGGGCCATCCTCCACTGCACTCCCTGGCCACAGCAGAGAGCTGGCCTGGAAGAGGGGCAACCGGGACAGAATCTGGTGCCCCGACCGGGACTAGAACCCTGTGTGCCAGCGCCACAAGGCAGAGGATTAGCCTATTGAGCCACAGCGCCGGCCAAATAAAATAAATCTTAAGGGGCTAGCACTGTGGCGTAGCAGGTAAAGTCGTTGCCTGCAGTGCCGGCATCCCATATGGGCACCAGTTTGAGTCCTGGCAGCTCCACTTCCCAACCAGCTCTCTGCTGTGGCCTGGGAAAGCAATGCAAGATGGCCCAAGTCCTTGGGCCCCTGCACCCTCCTGGGAAGAACTGGAGGAAGTTCCTGGCTCCTGGCTTTGGATCAGTGTAGCTCGGGCTATTGTGACCAACTGGGGAGTGAACCAGTGGATGGAAAACCTCTCTCTCTCTCTCTCTCTCTCTCTCTCTCTCTCTGCCTCTCTTTCTCTCTCTGTGTAACTCTTTCAAATAAATAAAATGAATCTTTTAAAAATAAATAAGTAAATCTTAAACAAAACAAAACAAGAGCGGAGCAGCACCAGCACTGCAGGCAGTGGCTTAATCTGCTGCACCACAGCACCTACTGGATGCACGGCAGAATGCCCGTCTGCTCACGGCAAAGCCTGCTGAATACTGGGGACGCATCCCTTCACACTTGCTGTCCCGTATTTACCATGGCTGCCCAGGCCAACACACAGAGTTCACCATATGCTTTTCTTTTTTTAAAGATTTATTTATGTATTTGAAAGGCAGAGTTATAGAGAAGCAGAGGCACAGAGAGAGAGAGAGAGAGAGAGAGGTCTTCTATCTGCTGGTTTACTTCTCTAATGGCCACAATGGCTGGAGCTGTGCTGATCCAAAGCCAGGAGCTTCTTCCATGTCTCCCACGTGGGTGCAGGGGCCCAAGCACTTGGGCCATCTTCCACTGCTTTCCCAGGCAGGGACCCGATCAGAAGTGGAGCAACCAGGACTCAAATTGGTGTTCCCATGTGATGCCAGCATCACAGGCAGCCGTTTAACCAGCTTTGCCACAATGGCAGTCCCTCAATTTAATTTCATGGCATCACTAAGTTCTAGAGCTCAGCATTTTTAAAATTCTCATAATCAGGCCGGCGCCGCGGCTCACTAGGCTAATCCTCCGCCTTGCGGTGCTGGCACACCGGGTTCTAGTCCCGGTCGGGGCGCCAGATTCTGTCCCGGTTGCCCCCCTTCCAGGCCAGCTCTCTGCTGTGGCCAGGGAGTGCAGTGGAGGATGGCCCAAGTGCTTGGGCCCTGCACCCTCATGGGAGACCAGGAGAAGCACCTGGCTCCTGCCATCGGATCAGCGTGGTGCACCGGCCGCGGCGGCCATTGGAGGGTGAACCAACGGCAAAGGAAGACCTTTCTCTCTGTCTCTCTCTCTCTCACTGTCCACTCTGCCTGTCAAAAAAAAAAAAAAAATTCTCATAATCACACCTCCTGCAGAGATGCAGGAGAAAAGGAAAATGCATGCATGGGTAAGATTAACAGCGTTTGCCTGTCTGGTCCGTTACCCTGGACATAAGTGGCAATTAGCACCAAGTCAGACCAGCTGCCCAATTTACAAATTAAAACCAAGGCCTTCGGCTACAGGGTTAAGTCACCGCCTGTGATGCCAGCATGCCATAACAGAGCACCAGTTGAAGCCCCATCTGCTCTGTTCCCAATCCAGCTCCCACCTAATACACCTGGGAAAACAGAGGATGAAGGCCCAAATACTTGGGCCCTGGCCACCATGCAAGAGGCCCAGTTGGAGTTCTTGGCTCCTGGCTTCAGCTTGGCCCACACTGGGCCACTGTGGCCACCTGGGGAATGAACCAGTGCATGGAAGGTTTCCCTTTCTCTCTCTTCCTCTTTCTCTGTTGCTCTTTCAAATAAATTTAGAATTCTTAAAAAAAGAAAAAAGACCAACAATTCAGTAAAACCAAGGCTCCACCCACCGGCAGGCAGTAGTAGAAGTAACCACAGAGCAGGGCTTCCCACCCGGGTGGATCAATGCCCGGAGACATGCTGGGTTGTCATACTCAGGGGAGCGTCCAGTGTCAGCCAGTGCTGCTCTGGGCTAGCAGAGGCTCCGAGTTTGCCAACACGACATTCTTCTTGTGAGTCCTGTGCTCGGAACACAGCAGAGACGTTACCTCCTAACTCTGTCTTCTGGCTCCAGGGGAAGCTTCCAGTTTGACCATTTCCTGCTTCTGTTGTCCTGGCAGGCCCTGCGGGTAAAAGCCAGGACCACACATCATTAATGATCTGCGGTGCCCACCGACGAGGGAACAGGAAGCTGTCACACCACCCACAAACATCACACCTTCCCTCTGCCTGCCCTTCACAGGAATCCGAGCTGGGGCTGGTCACGGTGTTGTGAATTAAAGGCATTATGAATGCGTTACACAGCCCTTCACATTCATAAAGGAATGCACTGTCTGACCTGCCTGCCCTCTTCCTCACGTCCCCGGCTCCACCATCGCTGCTGCCATCCTGTTCGTCTTCCCCAGCCCTCAGGGGGAAGGGCTCCTCTCTGGTTCCTGTAGGACACACGGTTGGTTGCATTCAGCATTAAACAAGAGCCCGCCTCATCAGTTGCTGTCACGTGTTTTGGGGACAGGACAGGAAGCATGGACCGCCCTTCACAGGAACTGCTCTCAATGCTGGCTGTGTATAAAAACACCTAAGAAAAATTTACTGTCACTTAGTGTTTTTCTTTTTTTAAAAAAATTTATTTCTTTGAAAGGCAGAGTGATGATAAAGAGGGAGAGAGAGAGGAAGAGATCTTCCCGCAGCTGGTCCAATGTGCCAAATTCAGGAGCCAGGACCTTCATCCAGGTCTCCCACGTGGGTGTCAGGGACCCACGCACTTGGCCATCATCTGCTGCCTTCCCAGGAGCATTAGCAGGAAGCTGGATTGAAATTGGAGCGGTCAGGATTTGAACCAGCGCTCTGATATGGGAAGTGGGTACCCTAAGAAGTGTAACCCACTGTGCCCCAATGTTTGCCCTATCATTTAGCTTTATTTTGAAATAATTTGAAATGCGTTGGTGCTGCATTTGAATAACAATGGAGAAGAATTCCTGCTTTGGAAGTAATATCATTTAAAATGTTACACAGATTCCTTAAGACAAAAACAAATCTGAGGATTAAGTTTACGGGACAGCCTACCTGCCTGGATCATAAGCACGGACAGAACGCATTAATGTATAATACCCAGAGAAAACCTCTGACGTGGGTCATGTGGTCAGCAGAGGTCGGACGTTGCCTGAATCTCCCCACCAATGAGGGGAGGCCCAGCCCGCAGAGCGAGCCAGGGCTGGGGCCACACAAGGGGAGGGCACAGTCACATGGGAGGTGGGCGGCACACAGGCTTGCTCCTGCTTTCTTACAGCCACTAGCCGAGAACTGCAGAAATGAACAGAGAGGGAGTCTTCATTGCCAGCGTTGACAAGGTTCAAGGTCACCTTGGAGGGAAGGTGCCATTGGCACTGTGAGCTGAGTTGTGTCCCCCAAAATAAGTTCTAACCCCCAGCACCTCAGAATGTGACTGTTTGGAGACAGGGTCAATAAAGAGGTGATTAAGTTACACGGGCTGCTGTCAGGATGAGCCCTAATCCAGTGTCACTGCGGCTCTTCTAAGAGGAGATTAGGATGTGGACTGGAGGGACAGCCATGTGACGGCCAGAGAGCCAGGGAGAGAGGCCTCAGAAGAAACCAAAGCTGCCAACAACTGGACTTGCCGCCTCCAGGGTTGGGAGCCACGCCTGCTGCTCCAGCCATCAGCCTGAGCCGTCATCCACGCAGACTCACACAGCTGGCGTCCACAGCGCAGTGCACACACGCCGCAGCAGGAGGTCAGGAACTGTAACAGGCTGTGGTTAGCGCTCCTGGGTTACAGGCAGACAGAGGGAGCAGCTCATCGGGCATGGGAGTGATGTGGGATCAAGAGGGAGACGGGGGTCTGAATTAAGTAGTTTCAACGAGTCAACACTTGCATATGGTTACCCTAAGAGTCAATCTCTCTGTAAAGGTAGCAGTCAGAGTAAACCATGTTAGGCACCACATTTTAAAGAGGAATGACCAAGAGTTACCAGTGTCAACAACCTAGAACCACATCATGTGCCTCTCAGCTTAAGGAAAATACACTGTCTGTACTTTCTCCCTCCAAGCCAACACAATTTGGGTTCCAAACCAAGAGTTACAGTCACTAAGAATGTTAGTGGTATGGGAAACCACTGCAGTGGAGGGTCAGCGCTGGGGCTCCGGGGGCTCAGATACCACGAGCACCGTGACCATCCCATATGGGAGCAGTCAGCCCCTGGGGAGGCAGTGGAAGATGGCCCAAGTTCTTGGGTCCTTGCCACCCATCTGGGAGACCCAGATGGAGTTCCTGGCTCCTGGCTTTGGCCTAGCTCAGCCCTGGCTGTTGCAGGCACCTGGGGAGTGACCCAGCAGTTGGAAGATACCCCTTTGTCTCTCCCTCCTAGTTGCTCCGCCTTTTGAATAAATAAGTAAATAAATAAATTAAAACAAAAATAGAAGGCAGCCTCAGTTTCAAACAGTGCTTACCAAAACTTGATGCTCACAAAATGTCAGGCGTGAGTGGCTGGTGGGCTATTTCACACACTCCCAGTAACCTCAGCACTTCTGTTCCCTCAAGCTGAATTATAGCCTTAAAAAGAATCATCTGCATTGTACACAAACCTCTGTATCTGCAGTTTCAGTTACATAATTAAGTAAACAGCATAGAAAGTAAGAAAATCACTGCAAATATTTCAAGTCTATGAAAACAAAGTTGAATACTTTGGAAATAATAAAGCTTGAAAGAATGTAGTCATGGGGCAGATGCCATGGAATAGCGGGGAAAGCCACCCCCTGCGGTGCCGGCATCCAATGTGGGCGCCGATTTGAGTCCCGGCTGCTCCACTTCCGATCCAGCGCTCTGCTATGGCCTAGGAAAGCAGTAGAGGATGCCCCAAGCCCCAGCACCCTCATGGGAGACCCCAAGAAGCTCCTGGCTTCTAGCTTCGGATCTGCACAGCTCTGGCTGTTCCAGCCAATTGGGGAGTGAACCAGCGGATGGAAGACCGACCTCTCTCTCTCTCTGCCTCTCCTTCTCTCTGTGTAACTCTTTCAAATAAATAAATAAATCTTAAAAAGAAAAAGCTTCCATAATATAATTAGCTGTTCAAAGTGGACAATAAATAGAAGCCGTCTGCCTCTCAAAAGGAGTTGTTCGAGGGGTGGGTGTTGTGGTGCAGCAGGTTAGGGTGCTGTTTAGGGGGCCGGCGCTGTGGCGCAGCGGGTTGACGCCCTGGCCTGAAGCGCCGGCATCCCATATGGGCGCTGGTTCTAGTCCCAGCTGCTCCTCTTCCAACCCAGCTCTCTGCTATGGCCTGGGAAAGCAGTCGAAGATGACTCAAGTCCTTGGGCCCCTGCACCCACGTGGGAGACCCGGAGGAAGCTCCTGGCTTCGGATCGGCACAGCTCTGGCTGTTGCGGCCATCTGGGGGGTGAACCAGCAGATGGAAGACCTCTCTCTCTCTGCCTCTCCTCTTTCTGTGTAACTCTTTCAAATAAATAAATACATCTTTTAAAAAAAAATGCTGTTTGGGACTCCGACATCTCTTACCAGAGCCTGGGTCAGGTCCCACCTCCTCTTCCAAGCCAGCTTCCTGCTGATGTGTAAGGGACAATGGCTCATGTACTTGTGTCCCTGCCACCCACACGGGACACCCAGATAGAAGTTCATGGTTCCTCGCTTCAGCCTGGCCCGGGCCTGGCTGTTGCAGGCATTTGGGAAGTGAACCAGCGGATGGAAGAGCTCTCTCTCTGTCATTCTGCCTTTCAAATACATCACATTAAAAAAAAAAAAAGAATTTTTTTAATGAGTTGTTTGGAAGAAAACTGAAAAGTGAGTGGAAGGAGTAGGGGTGTTGGACTCAGCAGCTCCATGTTGATCCTGGTTCTGAAACCATGAACAAGTTCTACAACGGCTGCATCTGCTTTCCTGTCTTTAAATGACGGCTACAGGACACGGCTGCCGTGAGGATGAGGTAAGAGCGCGGGTAGGAAGCGCCCAGTGTTCATCAGCTGTGTAACCACTCATCCTCCTCAATCCTTCTGTTTCTCTACTTAAATCTACTTATATTTATATTCAAATACCAAATCTACTTATATTTATATTCAAATACCAATGCTGGACTCCTAGACAAAAGTGGAACACACTAGGGGTTTATTTATTTTTTTGACAGGCAGAGTGGACAGTGAGAGAGAGAGACAGAGAGAAAGGTCTTCCTTTGCCGTTGGTTCACCCTCCAATGGCCGCCGCGGCCGGTGTGCTACGGCCGGCACACCGCCGATCCGATGGCAGGAGCCAGGTACTTATCCTGGTCTCCCATGAGGGTGCAGGGCCCAAGCACTTGGGCCATCCTCCACTGCACTCCCTGGCCACAGCAGAGAGCTGGCCTGGAAGAGGGGCAACCGGGACAGAATCTGGCTCCCCGACCGCGACTAGAACCTGGTGTGCCAGCGCCGCAAGGCGGAGGATTAGCCTAGTGAGCCGCGGCGCCAGCCTCTAGGGGTTTAAATATTTGTCAAAATACTAAATACAGAAACACATTTTGGGGGCAAATGAATAAAGTGATTTTAAGAATGAAGAGATTGGGGCCAGTGCTGTGGCGCAGTAGGTTAATCATCTGTCTGCAGAGTGGGCATCCCATGTGGGCGCCAGTTCGAATCCCAGCTGCCTCTCTTCCGGTCCAGCTCTCTGCTGTGGCCTGGGAAAGCAGTGGAAGATGGCCCAAGTCCTTGGGCCCCTGCACCCGAGTGGGAGACCTGGAGGAAGCTCCTGGCTATGGATCGGCGCAGCTCCGGCCACTGCAGTCATTTGGGGGGTGAACCAATGGAAGGAAGACCTTTCTCTCTGTCTCCACCTCTCACCCTCTGTGACTCTACCTCTCAAATAAATAAAATCTTAAAAAAAAAAATGAAGAAATTTCCTCTGAACCTAGTATTTCTGAACAGCTGATGCCACTTTTCAAGCATAAAACATCTTTGCATCCCCAGGGTATACCTCTCCTGGTCATGCTGTGTCAGGATGTACTACTTCACAAAACCTCGACATTCATCAGCTCGCTAAGATTTTGCTTGCAATTTTTGCCATCTATGCTGAAAGCCAGGGACCTTTGAATTCCTTTCTCAAAAAGGAATCTTGTCAGATTTGGGTATCAAGTTTACGGTGGACTTGTAAAACTAGTTGGAAAGTGTTCATGACATCACTGAGAATAAACGATGCAGTTGAACTATTGTACCCTGGATTTTTAAAAAAGATTTATTTTATTTATTTGAAACACAGAGTTACAGAGAGAGGTAGAGACAGAGAGGGGTCTTCCATCCGCCGGTTCACTCCCCAATTGACTGTAACGGTTGGAGCTGCGCTGATCTGAAGCCAGGAGCCAGGAGCTTCTCCGAGTCTCCCACGTGGGTGCAGGGGCCCAAGAACTTGGGCATCTTCCACTGCCCTCCCAGGCCATAGCCGAGAGCTGGATCAGAAGTGGAGCAGCCGGGACCAGAACCGGCGCCCAATGGGATGCCGGCGCCGCAGGAGGGGGCTTTCACCCCTGCGCCCCTACCCCGCGTGCTGATGGCTGTACAGTTACTGCATCGCCACTGTCCTCATCTCCCGCCCTCGTCCATCCCCTACCTCCTCCATTTCTTCGTCCACCTGGACTTCTCTCCCGCCCGAACGGGACAAGGGTCAGCACCGCAGGAGCCCTGTTGCCGCTGGGCACGGCCGGCCTCGCTGTTTCCAGCTGAAATGCTGCACTCACAGCAGCGAACACCAAAAGACGCGGAAACACGAGCCGATGCTCAGCCTAGGTCCCTGGTCCCTTCTCTCGCCACAGCCTAGAAACCGGACAGTCCTCAGAATTCTAAAGAAAGGCAAATTTCCAGAACTGCTGGCTCCCTTAATCATTGTTTTCGGTAAATGTGGCGTTTCAGAAGCAGCCCCACTGCCGGCTACTCGAGCGGTAGTGGCGCCAGCGGTAGCACCACGGCGAAGCCAAGCTCCCGATGGCCAGGGGCGCTCCGCCTCTACTGCCCGGCCGGAGCGCCCAGGGCGCCCGGAAGACCGCCCGGAAGCCGCCCCTGGACCAATCCGGAGCCGCGGCCCCGCGGTGGGCGGGCCCTGCGCGAGCCTGTGGGCGGAGTCCCGGAGGCGCGGCGCGGGGCTCGGCCTGCGCATGCGCGCCGAGGGTACGTCTCGGAACCCGGGGAGCGGCGACGCGGGTCTCCTGGTGCCGGTCCGCGCCGGGCCGGGTGTACCCGCCAGGTTGCCCCGGGGCCTGCTGAGCCGCCGGAGAGTGAACAGCGGCCATCCAAGCTGCCATCTCCCTGAGGGCTCCCGTGCCAGGGCCGGCGCCCGGCGCTGCCCTCTTGCCAGGTTTCGGGGTGAGTTCCTGTGACCCCCATTTTTGGGTGAGGAGACCCCGGGTGACCGCCGAGGGTCACAGGAACAAGGCGAGGTTGAGCGGGGCCTGGGCCCCGGGCCGAACACCCAGCGGCGGGGTGTGCCGCTGGCGTTGTCGCGTGCGAGGGTTTTGACTGGATTCCTCAAACTCGGGACTTAAATGTCATGTATAATTTTCATTTTACGTGGGAGGAAATAGGCTCATTGACTTGCCTCCTCGGTTACTGAATACTGGTGTCCTGGTTTGTTTTTTCCTTAAATTTTTAAAATTCTCACTCTGTTTGGAAGGCACAAAGAGAGAGAGCTCCCATCTGCTGGTTCACTCTCCAGATGGCCGGCTTGGGCCATTTTCTGCTGCTTTTCCCAGGCCATTAGCCAGGAGCTGGATCTGAAGTGGAGCAGCTGGGACTCGAACCGGTGCTCATGTGGGGTGCCAGTGGCGCAGGTGGCGGCTTTACACAACGTTGGCCCCAAGAATGCCATTCTTTTTAAAAAAAATAATAATTTTCATATCCTATTTATCTGAAAGGCAGAGTTACAGGGAGAGGGATCCTCGAGTCACTGTTTCGCTCCCTGCGTGGCCACGGCGGCTGTGAGGTCTGGGCCAGATGGAAGCCGGGAGCCTGGAACTCGGGTAGGTCTCCGGCATGGATGGCAGGAGTCCGGCACTTGGGCCGTCTTGCTGCTTTTCCTGGGTGTGTTAGCTGGGAGCTGGACGGCAAGTGGAGCAGCCGGACTCAAGCCAGCACTCACGTGGAATTCGATGTCTCAGGCAGCAACTTGAGTGGCCCCAAGAATGTTGCAGTAGTAAAGCCACTGACTGGAGATTCACATCCAGATCAGGGTGCCTGGTTCAGGCCCCAGCTCCTCCACTTCTCATCTGGATTCTTTTTGCTCTGCCTTTCAAGTGGATGAAAATAAATAAATATTAAAAACAATGTGATTCTTAAGACACGCGAGGCAGGGCCGGCGCTGTGGTGTAGCAGGTAAAGCTGCCGCCCGCAGTGCCTGTATCCCATGTGGTTCGAATCCCAGCTGCTCCACTTCCGATCCAGCTCTGCTGTGGCCTGGGAAGGCAGTAGAAGATGGGCCAGTTCTTTGGGCCCCTGCACCCGCATGGGAGACCTGGAAGAAGCTCCTGGCTCCTGGCTTCGGATCAGCTCAGCTCCAGCCATTGCAGCCAATTGGGGAGTGAACCATTGGATGGAAGACCTCTCTCTCTGCCTCTCCTCTCTCTGTGTAACTCTGACTCTCAAGTAAAAAATAAATCTTAAAAAAAAAAAAAAGAGTTACACAGAGAGAGAAGGAGAGGCAGAGAGAGTCTTCCATCCGCTGGTTCTCTCCCAAACTGGCCGCAACAGCCAGAGCTACGAAGACCAGGAGCCAGGAGCTTCCTCTGGGTCTCCCATGTGGATGCCTGGACCATCCTCTGCTGTTTTCCCAGGCCACAGCAGAGAGCTGGAATGGAAGTGGAGCAGCCAGGACTCGAACCGGCACTCATGTGCAATGCCAGCACTGCAGGCAGCAGCCTTACCTGCTGGGCCACAGTACCAGCCCCTCAAATACTTTTTACACACACTTGATCTTAGCCAAAAGGCCGAGAAGCGATCAAATACTTTTTAAAAATACAAAAATACAAATCAATAAACAAAGGTCGTGAAAAGCAATGTTCAAATGAAATTATGTTGCTAACATGTAAAGAGTTACCTGACAATACAACCATCAGGGAGATGCAATTTAATAAGAATTTTTTATCCATCAGATTGACAGAGAGAGAGAGTGCTCTTTCATCCACTGGTTCACTGCCTGAATGGCTGCAGTGGCCGGAGCTGGGCTGATCTGAAGCCAGGAGCTCCCATGCAGGTGCAGGGGCCCAAGGACTTGGACCATCCTCTACTGCTTTCCCAGGCCACAGCAAAGAGCCGATTGGAAGTGGAACAGCTGGGACTTGAGCCAGCACCCATATGGGATGCCAGCACTGCAGGTGTTGATTTTACCCGCTACTCTACAGTGCTTGCCCAGAGTACATGACTTTTTAAAAATATATATTTATGACAGAAAGAGAGAGAGAGAGCTCTCATGTACTGACTCAATCCCTGATAGCCAGGGTTGGGCAGAGCTGGGAGCCAGGACCTGGGAACTCTGTACAAGTCTCCCACGTTGGGGGAAGGACCCCAGTCTCTCTGCTGTGCTGGCTGCCTCCTAGAATGCACTTGGCAGGACACTGGCGTCAGGAGCGTCAGGAGCTGGAGCTGGCCGTTAGACCAGGCACTCCAAACGGGGACACGTGTTTCCTAACCAGTGTCTTGACTGCTAGGCCAACCACCTGTTCCTCTTGAGCCCTTTTAAATATGTGGCAGAGACCCAGGGTGTTTGTCCTGTGGAATTGGTCCGTACTCTGGAGTTGACTGACACCTGCTGGTGTGTTTGGCAAATTCCTGCATCCTGTGTTCTGGTAACTGGTAGATCTGGAGGCTTGGTTAAATTCAGGTTCTTTTATTTGGCAAGGCTCCGTGGTTGGTGCTGTGTATTTCTGTTGCATCCCTCTAGGAGGCGCAAAACCACTCACCAACCGGTTGTGCCACTCTCAGTGATGTGGAAACTGTAATCAGACAGTTTGGGTGTCACCGCTGTAGCCGTCAACCGTCTACCGGGATGGTTGTAGACAGTGTTGTTTAATATGAAGCGAATGGCTGGGTTTTAGTCTGTTTTCTGTTGCTGTAACAGCAGCCCCGAGACTGGGTAATTAAGACAGGAATGGAGTTTGTTTAGCTCACTGTCCTGGAGGCTGGGAAGGCCGAGAGAGCCTGGCGCTGCCATCGGCTCAGCTTCTGATGCAGGCCTTGGGCTGCTTCAGCTCGTGGGGAGTGCTGTACCTGTGCGAGAGACAAACACAAGGGCAGGGCAGGCATCGTGGCACAGCGGGTTGTCACCACCTGCGACTCTGGCATCCCATATGAGTGCCAAATCCTTGGGCCCCTGCACACACGTGGGAGACCTGGAGGGAGTTCCGGGATCCTGGCTTCAGCCTGGCCCAGCCCCAGCCATTGCAGCCGTTTGGGGAGCGAACGAGCCAATGGAAGAAAGATCTCTCACTCTTTCTCTCCACCTCTCCTGTAACTCTGCCTTTCAAATACATGAAATAAATCTTAAAAAAAAAAAAAATTGAAACACCAGGGCAGCCTCACTTTAGACTAAACCACTGTGCCCTGTAGCTGATTCAGTCCCACAGGGATTGAGTCCCACGGGGATTGAGTCCCACGGGGATTGAGCCTGCTCTGGGGGAAGGTTTGAGCCCTCTGAGAGATCTAATCATCTCTTAAAGGCCCCGCCCATCACTGTCAGTGGCAATCACATTGCCTTTTTTATATACTTTTTTAAAGGTTGATTTATTTGAGGCACAGAGTGACAGAGAGGGAGAGAGAGAGGGAGGGAGAGATAGAGATGTTTCATCTGCTGGCTCATTCCCCAATGGCTGCATCAGCCAGGACTAGGCCAGGCCCAAGCCAGTAGCCTGGAATTCCCTCTAGGTCTCCCACATGGGTGCAGGGGCCCAAGCACCTGGGCCCTCTTCCACTGCTCTCCTAGGCGCAGTAGCAGGGAGCTGGATGGGAAGTAGAGCAGCTGGAACTCGAACTGGTGCCCACAGGGGATCCTGATGTCGCAGGCAGCGGCCCCAGTCACATCCCATGGTTTTGGAAGGGATGAGCGTATGCGAACCGCAGCACGTGGGAACAGCCTGCTTGTTGCTAAGTGGCAAATGGGAGGCATCAAATGACCAAAATTTAACAGTGGTCTTTTGGGTGTTAGAAACAGAAGTAGTTCTCTCCATTGCTTGTACTTTTTCTTCCTCTCCCTCCCCCCACCTCCCCAAATTTCCCAAAATGGAAACAAAAGAAATCCTGCCTGTTCATGTCTAACAGGGAGACAGACTAGAAGGAAGGTTCCGGGTCCAGGCTCCAGGAGGGTCAGCTAAGGGGACGCAGGGTGGCGGCAGTGCACGTGGGCCGCAGTTGGCTTTGCTGCTGTTTTTCCCTGCCCAGTGTCCGTTCTGCCTCCTGCAACCCCCACTCTCCTGAGGGTCTCCCCTCTCCCACCCTGGATTCCATTTCAGTGGAACTGTCGTTAGAGACCTCCAGGCTCCCCCCACCAAAGCGCGGAGGCCAATCAGAGCCCTTGCTGAGGACTTGGTGGGCTGTAAGCAGCACTGCCTCCCCTGGTGCCCGAGTTCCAGCTGTCAGAGCACTCATGCCCCCACCCCCTGCCTGGTACAGTGCCTGCCGCGTGGTTGGTGTGCGACAGATGTTAGCTGAGCCATGCCCATGCTGCCTGCTGCCCACAAAGGGACTTGAGCGTTAGAGTAAAAGGCCCCAGAGCCTCTCGTAGATGCCGCACATAGCTTGGATGCAGCTCCCAGGAGCACCGTCACCCAGCAGGTGCAGCCTTCCTTGCGTCCCCACTGTCCTCCACTGGGCCTCACCCTCTCTTCCTGCCCAGCCCTGTGCAGAAGCCTGAAAGACCTTGAGGCTGGGTGTTGCCTTAAAGAGGCCAAACTAAGGGACATTTGCGTTAGAGAGCCAGATCCATCTTCAGACTCAGGAACCTGGACACTGTTGAGGGAACTGCAGCGGCTCAGGGTGCAGGGGCATTGCACGTGCGTCCCTTACAAAGTCCAGTCCTAGGGCTGGCGCTGTGGCCAGCAGGTTAAGCCACTGCCTGCGATGCTGGCATCCCACGTGAGCACCAGTTTGAGTCCTGGCTGCTCCATTTCCGATCCAGCTTCCTGCTATTGTGTCTGGGAAAGCAGCAGACGATGGCCCAAATGCCTGAGCCCCTGCCAGCCATGTGGGAGACCGGATGGAGCTCCAGGCTCCTGGCTTCAGCCTGGCACAGCCCTGGCTGCTGCAGCCATTTGGGGGGTGAACCCGTGGATGGAAGATCGCTCTCTGTCTCTCTTGCCCTACCTCTTTGTAACTCTAACTTTCAAAAACATACATCTTTGAAAGAAAGGAAGGTCAACCAACACCTTTCTGTCCAGCCTGGCTTTGACTGAGGCCATACTGACTGGCAGGGTAGCCTGCAGCAGGAGTCACCCTGGGCAGCCTGAGGCCAGCCTCCTTGCTCACCACCTGCAGTGTTCTTTCCTTCTGCCAGAGGTTTAGACTGTCATTAAAAAAATAAAGTATGTTTGTAATGATCAAATTCCTTAAATCTGTCTTCATTTTTCCTGCCTCTGAAACACTGTGTCCCTACCTTTTAGAAACAGGGAGAGAAGAGAATGAGAATGATTGTTAAGTGTTACGGACGGTAGTTGGGGACTTTAAAAAAAGCGACGATAGCATCTGCTCCTCTCAGGCGTGTGTACAGATAACCATTAGAGCAAACAGGATGTGCAGCCCTCACACCAGCGGCAGATGGAGCTGTTAAGGTTCTTGGGTGCAAACGACTTCAGCTGACTCGAGCAGAAAAGGAGTTCATCGAAGGACTGTGGGTAGCTCTGCTCAGCCACAGGGCGGCTGGAACCAGGGCTGAGAAGACAGCAGAGCCGGGGTGGAGGGGCGCAGGGCAGGATGCTGCTGGCTGCCCGGACACGCCTAAGCCTAGAGCCATGGGCCTGGCGTCACCTGCTGCAGATACAAGTTCTGTGTGGAGCCGAGTCCAGGTCACGGGCCACGTGCTGGACATGGGTGACGGGTGTTTCAGCGCCTGTCGGGGGCTCCCAGCTGCCAGGAGTGATTTGGAAAGCCCACCAGCTACGCAGAGAGCAGAGATGATGAAGCACCACACAGCACACGTCTCTGCGCAGACGCTCGGCAGACGGGAAGCTGGAGGGGCCCATGGCCTAGGAGGAGGAGGAGGGCTGTGACGACTGCCATCATGAGGGGAGGTGACTTGAGCCCAGGGAGACAGACACTTCCTTTCTTATTATTTACCTATTTTCATTTCACTCTCCAAATGTCTACAACAGGCAGGGCTGGGCCAGGCTGAAGCCCGGAACGCCATCTGGGTCTCCCATGTGCGTGGCAGGGGCTCTAGTGCTCGGGCCATCTGCTGCCCCGCAGGTGCACATTAAAAGGGAGCTGGAATTGGAAGCTGAGGTGAGACCCACACCCGAGCATTCCTGCATGGGAGGCAAATGCCCCAGGTGGCAACCTCACCGCCCCTCCGCCAGATAAGAAAAGTTGAGGGTTCCTAGTCTAATGGGGACACTGGGGACCCAGAAGGACGCTGCCCAACCCTGACCGGTGCAGAGGAGGGGCAGCTCCACCAGGTGCCGGACAGGCAGGCTGGGCGCAGGCCCTCAGCTGAGCCTCACTCCCTTCCTCTCAAGCTAAGCTCAGAGCTGCAGTTTCTGTTTTCCACGGCCACCTGTGACCCGAGACAAACGAACATACGCTGGGCTCATGCCCAGGGGCTCCCTCCTGACTGAGCCCGGACCTCCCCCGCCTGCCCGGCGTGGGTCACCTGTGACTGCAGGTGCGTGGGAGTCCAGGGCTGGTCTTTGAGAAGAACTTCAGCCAGAAGCCTGGGGTCTGGCAGCCCCCACCCCAGCCCGAGGCTCCCTGGGAGTTTGTTTCGGAGCTGGCCTTGGGCACTCCCAGCTCTGCCAGGTCCCCTCCCACCAGCTCCTTTCTCCCCACAGTCCCTCCCTTCCCTGTGGTCGCTCCCCGGCCCCCGAGGCCCTCTGCCGCTCAGGCTCAGGCTGCGTCCGTCAGGACAGGCCCCGGGCCTGCTCTGGTGCAGATGTGGTTGGACATCCCCCACGGGTTCCCACGTAGGAAGCACGTCCCCGGGGTGAAGCGGCAGCTGAGACGTGAGGCGAGTGGGAGGTCTCTGGGGGCACTGTCCTGGGAGGGGGTTAGTGTCGTCCCTCCAGGGACCGCGGTCAGGTCTCGAGAGGCAGCTGTCAGAGGAGCCCGGCACCGCCTGCCCCAGGCTCTGCTTCCTGTCTCGCTGCGTGTTCTCCCTCTCACCATGCGCCAGGCCCTGGGCTCCCAAGACCTCTTTCCTGAACACTACCCAGCCTCTGGGGCTCCGTGAGCGATGGAAAGCAGACCAGTCCGCTATCCCCCGACAGCCAGCCTTCCCGCAGCTCTGCCTCTGTGAGACCCCGCTTCTCCCCTTGATCTCAGGGTCTCCCCAACCCCAGCCTCTGCTGCTCTCTGTCCCAAAGCACCCATGCCTCCCCCTGACACGTACTAGCCCCAGCTTGTCTGACTGGCAGCACGCCTCCTCCTTCCCTGACAGCTGGGGACCTGCAAGTAGACAGCACAGGGCCCTCCTTACCCTGCACCCGGGAGCCACCCACCGTGGCTTGTGTGAGACCCAGGGCCCTCTCGCAGGGCTGGCCAAGGCCCATCGGCATGAGAGCCACCTTGAACTTGGATAGAACGTCTGCTGGGGAAAAGGAGAGATGCAGAATTGTGTGCAGAGCATGAACACAACCACATAAATCATTAGAAGAAAACACGCCAAAAGCAGTGGTGACCTCCGCAGGGTAAAGTTATGAGTGGTTTTAAGTTTTCTGTCTTCCTTTAGATTCAGTCCTCACAATACATAGAATATAAAATTTACTGTCAACCATTTACATTCTACACTAAGTATATTTGCATTGTTCTGCAACCAAGCTTCTGGGTTTTTCATCTTGCAAAAGTGAAACTGCCTGTTAACTGTCCCTTTCTCCCCTCCCTGAGCCCCTGGCAAGGGTGGGTCTTGGTTCTCTAAGTTGTTTTCACTTGTGCTCGTTTGCATTTTTCAAATTTCCCACAAGGAGCATGCATCTCGATAACTGGATTTTTGAAACAAAACGACATCACCTGCAATGCTGTCCCACATCCTCCACCTTCCGGGTGGGGAACCCGGGCTGTCCGCAGGGACCACCTCGGCCCTCACCCGCCAGGGTGCCCCCTACTTGTCTCTTCTCAGCCAACCAGGGACTCACGGCAGCATGCATCTCGTTCTTCCACTGAGTCCTGACGGAGCACAGAACTGGTCCCCAGGGATGGACGTACTCATCCCCGTTCCTCTCCTCGCTCATAAAGCCCAGCAGAACGGTCCCCAGAGGGTCACTCGCTGACTTTGGCCCAAATCTCTTGGCTCCCCTCTCCCCCAAATCATCTGGTCAGCTGGGCCCAAGGCTCTGCACACTTGGCGTCCCAGGGCCAGCCTGCATGCAGGTGAGGAAGGCAGCAGGCAGGGGAGGGCCCTGCTCGCAGGACTGGCCGAGAACCTGCCTGGTAGCCGGCGGAGGCGGATGTGGGGGCCGGGAGGAAGCAGGGCTCGGGGTGATGCGGGCCTGGAGAGTCATCACCTCCGCGTTAATCTGAAGGCATCAGTCAGTTCTGTGATGAGCGGTGACTTACAGACTCACAGGAGAGGGGAAACCACAGCTAAAGATAAAATAATATTTATTTATTTGAGAGGCAGAGTGAGAGAGAGGGAAAGACAGAAAGAGAGAGAGGTCTTCCATCCACTGGCTCACTCTCCAAATGGCAGAAACGGCCGGAGCTGGGCCAATCCAAAGCCAGGAGCCAGGAGCTTCCGCCAGGTCTCCCACGCAGGTGCAGGGACCCAAGCACTTTTGTCATCTTCTTCTGCTTTTCCAGGCCATAGGAGAGAACTGGATGGGAAGTGGAGCAGCCGGGTCTCGAACTGGCGCACATATGGGATGCCAACACTGCAAGTGGCAGCTTGACCTGCTACATCACAGCACCGGTCCCAGTGGGGCCTTCATTTTGTCAACCAGGAACCAAGGCCCAGAAACTGGGGCTGGGGGCTGCGTTTGCTTGAGGCAGCAGGACTGGGACTGGAACCAGGTCCCTGAGTCCCCAAGAACCCTGCCCCCAGCAGCTCCGCAGGGTGACGATCCCAGAGCAGAAGGGTGGCCAAGGAGGGGTTGGGTCAGACGTGGGTCCCAGGAACAGGCACAGAGTGGGCCAGAATTCAACAAGAAATGGGGAGGCCAGCTGGGCTCCATGGGACCCCTTAGAGACAGGGGAAATGGTGTCCAGGTGGAGGACGGCCAGGCCCAGCCACCTGTGCTGTCCCTGCAGGGGAGGGACTTCAGCTGAGGGCCCTCAGAAACCAAAGTCCAGTCTGCTTTCTCGCGCTCTTTCCCTCAAGCCTGGAGGACACAGGTGGATACAGGAATAACTCAGGTGCTGTTCTGAGATTCTAGGTGGAAGTGTGAGGTCCCCTAGTCCCCACCCCCCACTCCTCTGCCGGCAGAGGCCACTTCTGGGTCCACTCAGGAGAGGTTGGTCTCCTGCTGCCCCTCTGGGCCACCGTTCCCAGCCAGGGGGGCCCTGTTGCCCGGGCAGCCCAATTCATAGAGGGTGCTGCCCACGGTCCCCCTGCTGAGGCTGTGGGAGCCGTGCTGGGCCCTGTGGCGGTGGCGCCAGGCCCCCAGGCCCAGGGCTTCCTGAAAGGCCTCCCGGAAGCGGCTGGACATGAGGCTGTAGAGCACCGGATTGGCGGCCGAGCCGAGGTAGAAGAAGACGCCGGAGACGACGTGTAAGTACTGGAAGGCCAGGACCAGGTCGTCCGTCCACTGGAACACGAAGCTCCACATGAGCCGGTCAGCGTGGAACGGTGCCCAGCAGATGGCAAATACCACCACCAACACAACTGCAGGGACAGAGAAGGGAGGCCTGGGTGCCGCAGCCTCTCTCCTCTGCCCACCAGGCTCCCTCCTCCCATCGCACAGGCCATCCTTCTGGAAGTTTCTAGAAGGTTACCTGTCCTGCCTGCCTGTTTCAGAGAGACTGCACTTACCTCTATCACCAACTGGACAGAGAGGGTCACGTGCCCTGCCCTGGCCACAGCCTATTGGATCAGGCGTGGATCCCTGAGCCCAGCTGGTCCAACCAGATTCTCCTCCATGGGATCTGGAACGGGGGCCTCCTAGCCGTGGCTGCTGAGTTCCAGTAAGACACAGACTGTGGGCTAAGGCCCACTCTGGGGGTCACTCTTGCTGACGTGTTCAGTGTAGGGAAGCGGGCAGCCAGTGAGACACACGCGTTCTTAGACGCCTTCACACGCCACGCCGTGCTGGCCTGGGCCCTGGGCCCTCCCAGCTCCAGCCCCAGCTGAACAACCTGGGCTGACACCCCTTTCCTTGAGAGGTTTCCCCCACCCCTGGCCCAGCTAAAGGCAGGCTGGGCTGGCCAAGTCCTCCTCCCAAATTCCTTTCTGGCCTGGTCTTAACAAGTCATGCCCTTCTTTGGGGCTCTGCTCCCAGGCACACTTCGATTTTTGCTGCTTGTGTCTTATGTTTGCTTCTCCCCTGCAGTGTCTTCTCACCATACCCTAGCGTGGTTTTGCTCACAACCCTGGATTCAAGCAGCATGTTGCTTGCAAGAGGTCCCAGCCCTGGCCTCCCTGGCACTCTCCTGCCCCTCCTTTGAGGACTCGCCCCCTGAAGATTCCACTGCTCCCCTAGGGGTTGCATCAGCATGCTGCCGCTTGTGGCCCAGTGGTGGGCCAGACTCTGCCTGGGACTTTTCAGGAACCTGTAAGGGACCAGGCCAGCCATGCGTGGCCAGCTGCTGCAGGGAGAACAGAGCTGGGTCACGTTTAGGTGAAGATGAGCGAGCTGGAGGGTCCGGGTCCCTGAGTCTGTGAGTCTGGAGCCCAACCCCTGCCCCTCCACAGTTTGGCCCCACGAGCCAGGGCCAGCGTCACGGTCCCAAGCTTGGCGGGGCCCTGGGCTTGGCTTATGCTGTGCTGTTGCTGTCTTGACACTCTTTTGAATCTCTGAACCAAGAATCCCGAGGATTAGTTTAGCAGCGAGCCTCACTTACTTTGGCGAAAGCTTCCAGCTGGGAGAGCTCAGATCGCCCAGCCCCGCAGGGCAGAGCAGGACATGGGGGCATGGGGTTCCTCCAAGCCCCTCCCCCAGGCCTCATACCCCAGCTGAGCCCGGCCCCTCCCCGCCGGCGGAGACACTTACACAGCATCTTGGTCACCTGTCTCCGGCCCCTGTCCTGCTGCTGAAGGCTTCGAGCGTTGCCGGCCCTGGCCCCCTTCCCCGGCGTCAGCAGCAGCCTCTCCCGGCGCAGCCGCAGCCCGATGAGCAGGTACAGCACACTGATGGTGGCCATGGGCAGGCAGAAGAAGAGTAGCGCCGTGGTCTGCACCACCAGGTTGTAGAGGGTCTGGGGGCGCACCACCACGCACATGGCCGAGTCGGGCACAGGGCCCCTGCAGGGCACGTGCAGCTGCCGGATGCCGTGCAGGCTGGTGTTGGGCAGAGAGCAGAGCACAGCCAGGCTCCAGATGACCCCAAGCACACGGCGCACGTGGGCGTGCGTCACCACGGACCTGGCCCGGAGTGGGTGCACCACGGCCACGTAGCGCTCCACGCTCAGGGCCGTGACGTTGAGCACTGAGGCCAGGCAGACCGTCTCGAAGAGCAGCGTGCGGAAGTAGCAGCCGCCGGTGCCCAGCAGGAACGGGTAGTTGCGCCACATCTCGTAGAGCTCCAGGGGCAAGCCCACCAGCAGCACCAGCAGGTCGGACACGGCCAGGCTGAAGAGGTAGCAGTTGGTGGGCGTGCGCATGGCCGTGTGGCGCAGGATGACCAGGCAGGTCAGCCCGTTGCCCACGGCTCCCACTGCGAAGATCAGCAGGTACGTGGCGCAGATGGGCACGAACAGCTCCGTCTGCTGCGGCCCCAGGTACTTGAGCCGCAGCTCCTCGTCGGTCAGGTTCAAGTCCTCAGAGAGCCCCCTGGCCTCACTGCCATTGCAGAGCATGGGGCTTCGGGCACCCCTGGGGCACAGGTCTCCAGGGAGGATGGAGCAGTTGAGGCCAGACAGGGTGCTGTAGGATGGAGGAGAGAGAGGCCCCAAAAGTCCCTTGGGGAGCCCTGGCTCTGGGCCGCGTCCTCTCCCCGCCGACGAGGGGCACTCCTTTAACCACGGGGAAATCAAAACCCGGCCATGGGGTGTGCGTTCAGGCTTTCAGCGATGTGCAAGGGCCCATCTCACAAACTGGAGCCCTAACTCCAAACGTCCCCAGCTACTGAAACCTTTGACCTGATGACACCCTGTCCAGCACTGGCTTGGCCGACAGCAGTCTCCCCCTTAAGCCACGGACTTTAGGAGAGGCCCTCAGTTTGAGCATCTGTGAAATGGGGCCCAAGCGCCTTGTCCCCGGGTCCTTCTGCGCACAGGGCTGTGTGACCTCTCCCCGGGTGACTTCCCTAAGGCTGTTCTGAATGAGGCAGCTCCGGGGAGTTTAAGCCCAAGCAGAGTCGCTTGGTTGTCACCTACCTTGCTGTGGGACAGCGTCACCGTGGCGGCCGGCGGAGGCTGTGGGATGGCTGCGCACCGCAGAGCTGCATCGGAAAGTCGGGGCTTGCGTTTTCCGTCCCCGGAACCGCTCCAAACCTAAATATCCCGGGGCTCCCCCTACCGGGCTCCTCCTCCGGCTCCTCCCGCCCCTCGGCAGCCCCAGCGCGGGGCGCGCCGGTGGGGGAGCCGCGGGGTAGGGGGCGGCGTGCGTCCTCTTGTCCTCTTCCACCGGGAGGAGCCCGCAGACAGACACAGACCCCCCAGCCCGCGCCCCTGCCCCGGGCCCGGCCCACCCTCGCGCCAGCCCGCGAAGCGCTCACTCGCTGCCGCCCGGCGCCAGGAGCCGTTCCCCTGGCCCGCAGCGCTGCGGGCCCGGGGACCTGGTCGCCCCGTAACCTGCACAGCCACGCACCTCCTGGCTGACGGGACGTTCCCAGGGACGCCTTCATTTCACAACCACTCTGCGCAGAGGGGAACACTGAGCCCCAGGAGTGACCCAAGTCCTTGTCACCGGGTCCTTCCAGCCCCTGTCGCTCCTGCTTGGCATTTCAGCCACACTCCCGTGGACGCCACACCCCAGTGGACACCACACCGCATGCTGGAAGTCCAGGGGCCCAAGGGCTCACGCCTTGCAGTCCACACTTGCCCTCCCACCTCCAGTCCCAGGGCAGTCCCCAGCTGTCCCACCTGACTCAGGTCCGCTCCTCCCACGGTGGGGTCCCCTTCCTGAGCCCCACCGTGGTTTGGTAGGTTAAGCCTCTAAATGGGGCATTGGCATCTGATAGAGGCACTGGTTGGTGTCCTGACTGCTCCTCTTCCCATCCAGCTCTCTGCTGTGGCCTGGGAAAGCAGTGGAGGATGGTCCAAGTCCTTGAGCCCCTGCACCCGCATGGGAGACCTGGAAGAAGCTCCTGGCTCCTGGCTTCGGATCTGCACAGCTCTGGCTATTTGGGATGTGAACCAGCAGATGGAAAAAACTCTCTCTCTCTCTCCCTCTCTCTCAGTCTGTAACTCTGCCTCTCAAATAAATCATTTTTTTAAAAAAAGAACACCCCAGAGTCCAGTGTGGGTTGGACCCTGCACCCCCTGCATGCCCCGGGGGTTCCCCTCCCCTCCCTGTGTTCCCTCAGCACCTCCCCAGTATCCACTCAAACACCTTGCCTGCCCCTCCCCTCACCAAGGGGGCTTACAGGCAGGGATGGGGGGGGGTGTAGGGACGAGCCAGGAATGCCTGCCCAGCTCCCTGCTCCCCCAAACAGGGGCGCCTTCCGACTGGCACTCAACTCTTGGAAGGGAGAGCCCACCCTAGCTAACATGCTGGCCCCTGGGCCTGCCCCTGGAGTCTGATGCCTTAGTCTGAGTGAGGTCCAGGGGCCCTCCTGTCGGCTGATGCCCTGCAGAGAGTCCCTGCACCAAGAACCAAGCCCAGGACCCAGGAGGCTGCCGGGAGCCGTGTGACTGAGCTGCCCTTGTGAAGAGTAAGCTAACCATCACTACCACTTCAAATGCAAAGATTTAGCACAGGGTCTGGTAAGGGGCCGGCACCCAGGAGGGGGTGGGTGGGATTGTCACCATGCAATGGCACCTGAGGTGCCACCGTCTCCCCCAGGCTTCTGCTCCCTGCTTCCCGCCCTCCGCTGTGAGTCACGGTCTGGCCTTGGAGACAGGGAGTTAGACACTTGAGGAGCCTCCACCAGGCAGGCCTTCCCAGGAACTCCACATGTAAACACAGTTGTGCATTGTTCTCAGGGTCTTGGGAGAAGGATTCTGGGGCGCCCTGGGAGTTCACAGCCTGAGATGAGCTCGCCCACGTGGAACCTTCCAGAATGGGGCTGCTGTCCTGTGGGGTCAGCGTCAGCCTTGCACCATCCCGGGAACACATGAGCACACGCATACTCTACCTGCCTGGAACCCGCTGGGGACACTTTGTTGGTGATCGGAGTCCCGGCAAGGAAGGGACCGACGCACTCCTGCCTTCAGAGGCACACAGCTCCCAGCAGCAGGAATTCTGACAGTCAGCTGCATGGTATGGCCAATCATAGACTACACTGGACTAAGGGCAGCGTCTGAAAGGCGAGAGCCAGTGATCGTCATGGCTGTGGCCCCCACCGCTGCACTCACTGTCCAGAGGACACTGGTGCCCTGGCCTCTGGGCCTGAGCTCCAGAGCAGCAGGGCAGGTGCCCCCCAGAACCCGGTGACTTCCTGCTGCTTCCCTGCCCCGTCCAGAGGCAGCTTCCCCAGGTCTTGTGAGTGGACGCAGCCAACTCCTGGGCTTGGCAGGTGGGCCTCAGCCCAGGCTGGGGTGCCAAGGACCCAGCCTGGCACAGAGTGCTGCTGGGACCTCCAGAGCCAGCCAGGAGACCTCCTAGGTCCCAGGGCTCCCTGGCCTCTCCCCATCCTTCCGACTCCCTGACAGCCATGGTGGGCAAGGTGCCCTGGGCCAGGCCCACAACAGGATGTCCTCAGCTTGGGCTGACCCGGAGCTCCTACTGCATCCGCCGCTCCCCATCTCACACTGCTTCCCTGCCTGCAGAGAAGAGACAAGGAGGAGGGTGATAGGAGCTCGGGGACCCTGAGGCGCTGGACGGAAAGCAGGGGCTGTTCCGTAGCCTGGGCAGTGGGCACAGCCCAGGACCTGCCATCAGGGGGCTGCACCAGGCAGGCTGCAAGGACGGCTGGGAACAGCAAGCATAGGAACAGGGGAGTTGCCCAGCTCCTCTGGGCCCCACTCCAGGTCAGATCTCTCCACCTGGCTCTGCTCGGCTGGGCAGGCCTGGACTGTGACAGGAGAGAGAGGAGGTGGTGAGGGGATTCCCACTTTGGGGGCAGGGACTGTGCCGCAGGGAGCCAAGTGGCAGGTGTGTGATCATCCGCACTCGTGCACCCAGGCCTGGCTCACTCCCAGAAACTGGGACCCCTAAAAGAGAGATGGTAATGGCAGACGGGGCATGGCAGATGCGGGGTGGGGTGGGGGGTGATGCTGTCTGCCCGCTGTGTGGCCTTGGGTAAGTCTCTCTACAGCAAAGCCCCGCTACCTCCTCCTCTTCTGCTATTTAGCAGAAATAGGTCCTGGCTCCCAGGAATGCCGCGGGAACTCAGCGAGCTCGCGTGGGTTCAAGTGCTCAAGAAATGGTGGCTGTAGCCGTGCTTAGGAGTCTCTGAAGGAAACCAGGAAGCTGATGGGGATCGGAGCTGGGTGAGACCTGTGCTAGCAGGGTTGGCAAGGACAAGGACCCAGTCACCTGGGAAAGGGGAGCTGAGCCCCAGTGGACAGGGAAATCCAGGCCCAGACCCGGGATGGGGGACCAGCAGCGTGGGAGACCGGCATTGGTCACCTCTGGCTGTCCTGCCCGTGGAGAGGGCCACTGGAACTGCCTGACCCCTGCCCCTCTGAGGGCCTTGACCTCTGTTCGGAGAGAGCCCAAGGAGCCTGCGGGCCTCAGACTGGGCAGGGGAGCACAGGGAGTCCCCCGCCTCCCTGATCAGGGCTGAGTCTGTGCACCTGGCCAGTTGACCGACTGCGGGCCACACGATGCATGGTCCGGAAACAGCCTGGTTTCTCTTGTCCTGGGGTTGGGGTCCATTCTTACGGGGAGCCCATGGGGTGCTCCTGCCACCTGTTCTTCCAAGGCGACAGATGCGCCTCTCTTGTCCCCCCAGCCCTCCCGGGCAACCCAGCACAGGCACGTGTGCTGCAGCAGCTCCTCCGGGCTCTCCCGGTCACGGATGCGGCCGCCGTTGCCATCAGAGCTGGGCTTCTGACTGGTCGGTCAGGGTTCAAGAACTTGTTAGACGGCAACGCTGCTGTGTCCGGTTTGGGGCTTTTGATGGAGCAAGGAATAAAGCAGACCCTTGCGTTCTTTCTCAGTCAACTCAACGCCACCTGCTGCACTCTTGAGACGTCTCCCCTGCTATCTCCCTCAACCAGCTCAGTTACGGCATCCTGCACACGCGACTGAGACCCCCAGTCCTCATGCATCCCTCCCAACCAGCCAGCCCCCGGGAAGGCAGACACAAGGAGTTGGAAAAGCCTGTACCGGCCAGCGTCGCAACTCACTAGGCTAATCCTCTGCCTGCGGCACCAGCACACCGGATTCTAGTCCTGGCTGGGGCGCTGGATCCTGTCCCGGTTGCCCCTCTTCCAGTCCAGCTCTCTGCTGTGGCCCAGGAAGGCAGTAGAGGATGGCCCAAGTGCTTGGGCCCTGCACCTGCATGGGAGACCAGGAGGAAGCACCTGGCTCCTGGCTTTGGATCTGCGCAGCGCCGGCCGTAGTGGCCATTTGGGGGGTGAACCAACGGAAGGAAGACCAGTCCCTCCTCACGCCCTCCCTGCCCTGCCGCGACCCTCGGCTGCTTACGCCACACACACCCAGCCTGCAGGAGGGCTCTCGCTGTCTGCCGTGTGTTCTCTGCTGTCTGCTGCGTGTTCCTCCCGCGTGCACGAAGGCAGGGAGCCCTTTTCAGGTTTACTCCCTGAGTAAGCTTGTTCTGGCCGTGAGTTCTCACCCTGTCTCCTCTTTGTCCTACTCTTCTTTCCTTGCAGTTTTAGAACTTTTTTTGTGCTCATGACCTACATTCAGACCTACAGAGAGTAGTACTCAAGAATTCCTGTACCCCCCACTCAAGAGTCTCTGGGTATTAAATGTGGTGGAATGAGGAGGCCATGCCAAGATGGCCACTGATAACGGAGCCTGCCTGGCAACAGGCTGTGATTGGTTAGGGCATAGACTGCCCCTTGACCGGATTGGCTGCCTTGGCTATATAAGCTGCTGTACCAACTGAAATAAATGAGTCTGCAGGCTACTTGCCTCTGGCCGGCTTTCACCCGACTCCCGGGGTCTGTGTGGTGACTCTGTGCCTCTTGCCCCCACCACGCTCCTCCTCTCAGAACGAATCCACCTCAACAGTTACAATGTTATGGCATTTTTGCATTGTCTGGGCATTGTACACCTGTGCACGAATACATTTTTGCATGGTCTGGACTGTAAGAGACTCCATTGCAGACACGAGGCCCATTCTGCTTTAGTTTCAAAGTGTCTTGTGATTATCATTAATTCCACC